GTATGATTGGCCTTTTTATTGCGTAACAGGGCGCAAACTTCATCATTTTTGCCCGAAAACTTTTTTGTGGAAACTTTAAAAAATAACTTAAAAAAAAACCTTTCACCCAAAATTTCATAAAATTATTTAACGAGCGAATCACTTTTCTTATGTGCGTTCATGTGTGCCAAAACTGTACAAATCCTACATAATATATGGAATTTTAAAAAATGGACTTTCATTATCCTAGTTTCATTTAACAAAATTTAAGAATTTTAATTTGAAGAAATCTTGAAGAATTGTACGAAAATTAATTAAGCAGCTCTCCATGGAAAATTAAAATATATGCCACAAGCAATACCAATATTTATATACTGTAAATATGAGTACGATTTCAGTCCAAGATGAAGTCTAGCTCCGACAGGGATGTGAATGAGTTGCGGGCAGACGTCGACTGTCTGGAGGCCGAGGTCACTCTTCTGAGGAACGAGAACAAGGCACTCCGCGACAGAAGAAGGACCCTGGAACAGAGAATACAAACGGTAGGGAATATTCTCATGCGTGAAGAAGCAAAATCGCGAGAAATTTCAACTAATCAACGCCCTTCAAACTGCGCAAAACTCTGTTTGAATTTATCGCTTATTTATTTCGAATTCTTGAATACTGAGCTCTGATTGGGGTTCCCCAGGGATGCTTGCAACCTCTTGAATGTGCGCTTTCCTCTATAGGGGGGGGGGGGGGGCGAGGGAAGCGAAGACTTTAACTGTGTTGCGTCTTCTTTGGTTGTGTCTTCTTTGGAGAATTTCTCAAAAAAACGCCCAGAATGTCTCAAAAAAAACACCTAAAACTTCGCAAATTTTCTCAGACTTGAGTTAGATAAGAACTGTATTCTTGACCATTTATAAAATAACTATCCCAATATGGCACAACTTAAAAATTCAGCCCAATTTTTGAAGCTCGAATTTTCTCTATGCAAGGTGAAGTTTTTGCAGATTTAGATTAGATCAGAGCAAAAAAAAAACAATTGAATTTTTTTGAAGTTATTTTTTTTACGTTTAATTGAGAAAATAACTTTTAAATTTCAGTTCAAAAACATGACACAACCAGCTGAGATACATTTTTCAAAAAAATGCTTAAAGAAACTATCAATGAGTTTCGAAACGTTTTTTTTTTAAAAAGAAAGAAAATTGGACGCCAAAAGAAGGCGTCGTGGGAAAATCAATTAACTTTAGATTAGGCAATAATACAGTCATTGCTCTCTGCGGTCGAGAAAAAAATGCTGAGCACCATGTTAGTGCATTTCATTGTGATACAATTTGCACCCGCCGTTGATAACCTAAAAAGTAAAATTTTTGTGACAACATCAGTGTTTTTAAACAAATTGCGTAAGAATCAATACCAAGGCAAAGCGCAGCCACACAAAAAAAACATAACAAGGCGAAAAAACAAAAAAGGTTTAACCAAAATTTTCTTATGCCTCAATAAATTATAGCCAGGGGCCCAGCTAAAACTGGAGCTACGAATTTGACCCTTTTTGAATTTATTATTATGATGCGGTATGAAATGGGTAACTTCAATAGGAATTTGCCAAAAACTTAGTTGTTTTTTTAATAAAATAAGTAAGAAGAGTGAAATTTTTTTGAGATGTTGGAATTTTTCCGAGGCCGTAAATTTTCTCTTACAAAAATGTGGAGCAGCCACTTCTGTAGGAACAATTCTCAGAATCGTTTCTTTTGATTGACCCCTTCATCTCAGATTTGATCGGGTAGTTCTTTAAAAAATCAAACATTTTCGTCACAAAAGTCTCTAGGAAATGGCCACTTTTTTCTGCTTAACTTTTTTCTGCTGTAAGTATGTCGATGCCACTTCTTTGATGCGGCATCAAAATGCGGAACGCTTACATGATTCAGAGAAAATTGGCATGCGGCATGCTTAAAGGATGCAGAGAATATTCTTCATCCGTTTTCTCTATCGTACCTTCAATCTCAGATTTGCGAGAGTACTTTTTGAGAAAAAAAGACAACTTATGATTGCCACTTTTTCATTAAAATTAATCCAGTTTGAGAAAACTGGATCATAATGTACAACTTGTATTTTGCTGGGACAACTGCTAATTAATATCCATGATCAAAGTTAGAAGTCGATCACGTTTCTCTTGAACTTTACACTTTTACTGTTTGGTAGTGGAGTTTGCCTTCCCCTTCACAAAAGAAATGAAAAGAGCTTTAAAAGAAACCAAAATTGAAACAGCAAAAATATCAAAATCATGCATGAATAATTTTTCCTAAAAAAATCATCATCGTGACCTATTTAAGAGTCTAAACTATATCTGAACAAACAGTTGCATTTGCTGATTAAAACTGATGAAAACTATTCATCATTATTACATCTAACAAAAACCTAAATTTGAACGTTCCGGCAGCATGTTCTAAACTTAGCTGTGTGTGAGTGAAGTGGCTTAGGTCTCAACTTTTCAGTCAAAAGGTCGGTGCGTTCAGGCCCCCAGGTTCGCTGCAGGTGAGGCAACAATTCTCAGACCAGAGAAATCACAAAAAATGTCTCATAAATGGTCAAATAATTCTTGTTCAAAACATAAAAATTTCTTTGATCACTAGCATTTAACATTGCCGTTCTCAATAACATAGCCAACTGAAAGTTGGAAAAAAGCAATGAACGTGAAGACACTGAAAAAAACTGACTTGTTATTTCAAAAACCTTCAACTTTTGTATTTTGAAGAAAAAACACAAGGCCTTAAAGCTGTTAGAATTTGTAGAACAATTTATGATAAACACTTTTTTATAGTTAACCCAGTTTGAGAAAACTGGATCAATATGCAAAATTTTTATTTCGCTGGGAAATCTGATATTTAACTTCCATTTTCGAAATTAGAAATCGACCACGTTTTCTTTGTGAATTTTACAAGTTTGCTGTTTGAAAGCGGAAATCGCCTTCCTTTTAATAATGGAAATGCACTGAAATTCAAAAAAAAATCAGTAGTCAAACCGCGAAAAATCGAAATTGAGCGTGAAGAAACTTTAAGGCTTTTTCCCCGGTAAAAAATCAGCAAGTCTTATAAAAGAGTGTCGTGATAACTCTTTTATAGGTCTTATAGATTTGTTCATGCTCAATTTAGATTTTTCGCAGTTTGACTTGATTTCTTTTCAAGTTCAGTGGATTTCCATTGTAAAAGTAAAAAGTACGCAAATTCTACTTTCGAGCAGCAAGAGTGTAAAGATCACAAAAACATAATCTTTACTCTTAATATTTTATATCTCTAGCTTTACTAATGAGTTTTGCATTAACTCAACTGAAAGACCGCTTAGAGTGGGTGAAGTCAGCTGGTAGAGCCAAACACTTTTTGCTTCATTCGAGGATCCTTGCCACCAAATATTTTAATTCAGTAAAAACTTTCTTGAAGCTATTTGAATATTTAACGAAAGTCCTTACTAGTGTTCTAAGCTTTTATTTCGCGAGCGAGCTCAAACTAACACACAAAAACGCGACTTTTGTCTATTCTTTCAAATTTTTTTCAAAAAACACTGTCGCAACTTTGTCCGAAACCAATTTACCAAAAACAGCCTCGTCAAAACAACGACTGTTAGCAAAACACGCTACAAAGTTGCTCGATAAAACTCATCAAATAAAAATGATATTTTCACCTGGTATCTTGAGAAAACAATTCAACATTAAAGAATTAATTTGGATAATTTACGTTTAGCCGAAATAAAATGGTCAATTCTTTTTTACGAAAATAGGGAAAAGAATAAATATGCCGCAAGCACATAAAATTTTAATTCAAAATTTGGTTATGAAAGAAATTTTTAATTGCACCGGAAAAAAAATCTGAGCTAAGAGCTAAAGCTGTTTTTTTTTGTGGTTTTTGGAAGGATATTAGACGTGTTCTGCTTTCAAATATTGTTAAATAAATTAGTTTTCATTACGAAAACGTTCGACCATCTTAATTTCTTCTAAGTAGAAAAATAAATAATCTCTTTCATCATTAAATCATAGACTGGTTGATCGTCTTTTAATCAAAAATGAAAACTTAAAGCAGCTGAACGCGTCATTTGAATGGTATTATTTACAAAATTAACTATAAACAAAGAGGAGCTAGGTTCAACGAATTTCTGTATTTTATGTTATTTGAGGTTAGGTTGGAGAGCAATTCATTTATCTATTTTACAAATCAAAATAGGGTAAAAACACCCAGTTTCAAAGGAGAAAAATAATAAGTATAAATAATTATAAACTGTTTAACTAGCAAGGGAAAATAACATAGAACGTACACTGAGAGGCTTGAAAATGCGAAGTAGATTTCAACCTCAAACACGAATTTGCTTTGAAATTTTGTTCGAAGCATTGAAAGCACCAAAAAAATTTGGCTGAATCCAGAACGCAAATTTCACAAATATTCACCGGCACGGATCTAAGATTTCTTTGCAGGTATTTCAAAAAAAACTTTAAATAGATCGACCCAATTGATTTTCCAAAACATTTTTAACGCAGTTTTGAAATGAATAAAAAGTTGTCTATTTGGTGTGCAATTCTTCCTCAATATTATTGACTGGTAGCGTCGAAGGGATTGGTGGACAAAAGATGGTTATACTAAACAGCACATGTGGTGACCCTTTCGCGGTGGTCAGGGGATCGAATCCCAGAGAGGAGAGGATGGATTTTTTCCCTAAATCCGCTTATGAATATTCGCTAAGTAGCGTACTTATATTGACGCAGCCGCTATGAGTCAGTGACATGACATTAACTATGACAAGATGGATATGAATGATGATAGGGCGATTTTTGACAATTTAGAAAGCACAAACGAAATCCTTCGAAAACTCGTTCAATTTTAACGAAATCCTTCGAAAACTCATTCAATTTTTAAAGTAGTACAAAATTAAAATGGTTTTTAACCCCATGTTTGACTTAACTAGGAATTAAAAAGCAATTGCCTGATTTCACAAACTGTTGCAGTTTTCCATAAATCATATCTGATATCGGATTTATGATCTAAAATGGATGCTGCGAAACCAAAATCAGCCAATTTCTTCTTCTTTATTTTCGAATTACTCGCAATATATTTTGATCAATCGGAATTAAATTAGAGTTCATATTTGAATACTCTTTTAGAGTTCTTTAAAATTAGGTCACGATAGATGGTGTAGATAAGAGGTAAGCGATAGAACTACACAGTTTTGCAGCTGCTTAAATTAGATTTTCAGCTTTCTTCTTAATTCTTGTAACGCAAGTGTTTGCATGCTTACAAATGGCTCTGGAATAGGCAATATATTAGCATAGGCGGCACGCCTAAATTTACCGTGCCTGAATTTATCCTGAATTTTATAATATTTGTCATACTTCATCGGATAGAAACTTTAGTTATTTAATTAATGCAATCGTCGATATGTAAGATTTGCTCAAAATTGCCACCCATGCTGATGTAGTACCCACCACCAAATGATGATTCGTTTCCCTTCTGACTAGTTAGCCTGTTATGCAGTCTGTGACCTGGCGAAGTTGAGGAATATCTGCTCGAGGGTAGTTTGTGATATGATGTAGTCTGATATGTTGAACATTGGCTTTGCCTTCTCTATAGTCGAGAACAGTTGTGACCATTTGTACGTTTGTCCATTTAGCTCGTAGTGCAAGTAGCCTACTGTGCCTGTTGTGTGTGCATCTTTCAGAATGCAACCTGCAATCAAAGAACAACTGCAAAAAGAAAACAAGCTAGCGCTGAATGCTCCCAACAATGTGCATTCTTCCATTAGATCCAAAACACTTAGAGTGGGTTTCAAAAGAAATCAATAGTCAAACTGCGAAAACTGATCCTAAACAGATGTTTCAACTTTTCGCAAAGGAAAAAATTACAATGAAAATTAACTTCGGTCATCAATATATAATACATCTTTTTTTCACAGAAGCTAAGCTGCACTTCGCAAACCACAAGCAAAAATATGACCGATAACGCTACTGGGAAAAACAGAATGAGTAAAGACTGAATGAGTAGATGGTCTTCAAACTCTTTGAAATTCTAAAACAATTTATTATTGACACTTTTTAAATAAAATTAACCCAATTTAAGAAAACTGGATCAATAGGTAAATTTTTCATTTCAAACCGCGAAAAAGTAAATTTCAGCGTGAACAAATTTTAAACTTTTTTTTCCTAAAAAAAACATCACACGTCCTATATAAGAGTCTGAACTATGTTCATAGACTCTTAAAAAAATCAGACTTGTTCGGAGAGTAACTCACCTTGAAATTCCTTTTCGATGTGCTCCTTTAATCGCCGCGCATCCATATTGACCTCTGGCCCTCCCTGCACTCCATTGTCCACAGTGTCTTCCCCAGTGGGGGCAGCAGAAGCCCCTCCTCCTTCTGACTTGTCGGGCGACCTTAAGATAACACAGTCACTCAGAAAGCAAGAGCAAATGATTAGTTTTAAGGGACTCAAAGCTTACCTTGAACAGCATTTTTTCGTGGAGGAGAAAGCAAAAAACCCTGACCCTGCTCCGACATTGTCATTTAATATTACCAATGGAAACAGTTGGCTCTAGCAGTGTTCATGGCTCTTTCCAATAGTAAAGACGGCTCAAGGAAAAGAAAGAACAAAAATCTGAGCATGATCATGGATCCGGAGACTCAGAGAAGCAGCTTACGAAGGAGCTTTCTAAACATGTTGCTCTTGAAGTCCCAAAACTATTGCTGGCATATAAAAAAACTTTTGGGCTCTTTCACATTAGAGCTGCCCAGCTTAGTAGAATTATAATTTTTGTATTGGAGGGGGTATTATAACGCGAATGAGTCTTTCAGCGGACCACAGCAGCAGCATCAGCTTTTATGATTTTAAACTGAAAGGAGGTACCTTGTCTTGCAGATGAGTGTGAATCCACTTCCATATTTGGACTTGAGTCTCTGCAGACCCCCCAGACACTGGAACTGTCCATTGACCATTATGGTCATGCGAGTACACAGCGCCTCACACTCCTCCATACTACACACAAAACGTAACAGCATAAATTCCATCAAGTGTTCATTCGGAAATTTGTGCTTGAAAATTCCGTTCACACTTGTTCACTTCGACAAAAAAGGGACGGACCACGAAAAACGGCCACTGAATGTACCAATATATGACAGTTTTTTCCCCAATAACACGCATGAGCTGATTCACGCATCGGTTTTTCCCAATAACACGCATCGGTTTTTGAATTGTGAAAACCTACTCCGTCTTGGCAATTGGTACTTTTTTTTATCCCCCCTGAGATTCCTGAAAATCAACTTTTTTAAAACTAAGAGTTAGTCACGTTCTCGTGCCATTTGCTATATTGTTAGTGCGTAGCGTAATTTAACTGCCTTTTGGCCAGTTTTTTTGAGTTGAACATAAGTGAACCACAAAAAAAACTAATTAGATCTTGATGAAATTTGAATAGTGTTTCTTCAGAAAAACATCACAACACAAGTTGAAATGAAGTACACAGCCGGAACTTAGTTTCAACAACGTGTTCAATTAGAAAATGATGAAGTGCAAAGTTATTTTCGGCAGAATAAGTAAAATGTGAAAGCGACCTGTGAGACGTGATGACCAGAGACTGTCCGTTCTCCCTCACTCTGGACAGGACATTCCACAGCTTCCTCCTGGTCACTGGATCCATGCCACTAGAAGGCTCATCCAGAAACACCAGAGGGGGCGAGCCAATCAGGGCAATGGCCGTGCTCATCTTGCGCTTGTTGCCACCACTGTAAAAACATTAACGATCAGTTAGTTGTTTGACGTCATTGTTCAACGCTTCAAAGGGATCCAAAATTTGCAGAGATATAAGCCAGCCTAAGAATAAGCCAGCTATCATATAAACCGGTATTAAAACACTGAGTAGTTACATAATAACTACCTTTCATTTAAGTAACAGTTAAAAAAGTAGCTTGATGAATTTTTTTAGATTCCAATGGGATCCAAAATTCAGTAATCATATAAAAGTTCTACTACTCTGTGTGAGCACTTGAACATCTTAATCGACTTTGCTTGTGTATTTTGATGAATAGCTTTCATACCACCAATCAAAAATTGAAATTCGATTAAAATGTACATATTTTTTTATTATTTAGAAATAAATTCACAATTTATTTGTAGCTGCGAATCAAAGGATATTCAAAACAATTCAACTATTACCAAACTCATCAATTTTTCGCATAAAAGTCAGTAGTTATTACAGCTTGATGGAATGTTTCAAATCAAGTCATTAACAATCCTTGTTTACAGAAGTGAATATTATTGTGAATAATCCAGCCAAAACTTACGCCATTGCAGTAGGTGATAGCATTGTTATGTAACAGCTGCTTGGTTTTGGCTGTCGTTTATATACCTCCAATTCCAACACACCTTTATGCATATTTTTAAGGTCAGATCTCGGTAACAATTTAGAAAAGAGAAATGCAAAAACTGCAAATTCTAGCGATAACGTAATGGAATTATAATATAAACCATGTATACTATATGAGAAGTGAGGAGCTGGATATAATAGCTACAGACGGACCTGTAAGTTCCGACTTGTTGCTTGGCATATACAGTCAATTGGAGTGCCTCCATGAGTTCCCTGGTAACTATCTCCATCTTGTCACTGGGGATGCCTCTGATCCTCCCATACATGTACAGTGTCTCCTCCCCTGTCAGGTTATCAAGCAGGGCGTCAAACTGAGGACAGTAGCCCATCAATTTGCGAGCCTAAATACACACGTTCAGTCATTACACATTTGGCTCAATCATTTTGCAATTAATGTAGGCAATGTTATTTTCGGTCAGCGATTCTTGATCGAATTACTTAACTAAAACTGATGTTCCATAAAAAAATTATGGCGTAGCCGCTCAGGCGGAAAGATTCAAACAAACTGTTCTCTTGATTGAACCTTTACCCTGAAAAACTACCCAGTTTAAGTTGGGGGAAGGTTCCCTGTATAAGTGGCTTTGCCTTAATTTGTGGAAAAAAGTTAAAAGTATAGTAAATTGCAATTTTGTGACAGTTTTTTTTGAGAAAACTGTAAACAGGTCAAAACTTAGACAACAGAGAGTTGGAAAAGAGTCGATGAATGCAAGAAAACAGAAAAAAAATCACTCCTTTCGAATTTCAAAGAAATAAACAGACGCCCTTAAAGCTCTGAATTTCTAGAACAATTTATGATTGCACTTTTTTGATAAAATAAACCCAATTTGAGAAAACTGGATTAAAAATTTAAATTTTTATTTCCCTAGGAAATCTGAAAATTAAATTCCTTTCATAACTAGAAGTCGATCACGTTTTTCGTACCCTTTACCCTTTTGCTGTTCGACAGAGGAGTTTGCCGTCCTTTTAACAAAGGAAATGAACTGAACTTAAAGAATCAAAGGTCAAACCGCAAAAAAAAAAGAAAATTTGAACCTGAGCAACGTTTAAGACTTTTCCTGAAAAATAATCATCACGACCTATATCGACTTTTTAAAATGACCATTTAGTAAGATTAACTTTTTCAACAATTTAACGCAAATTCGCTTATGCAGTGAACCTTCCAACAACTTGTTATTTTGATTGAAAACTCAATCTCAACTTAGGCAGGGTAGTTTTTGACAAAAACAGTAAAAACGTCAAAAAATGGCATTTTCCTGAGGCCAGTACTATTTTTCGACAAAAATGAGGGCGTAGCTACTAACGCAAGGAAGATGTGGTCGATCTGTTCTTTTGATTGAAATCGTAATCTCCAATTTAGCAGAGTTTTCGACAAAATAAAAATTTCCTAAACACGGTCAAAATTTGTCAATTTTTTAGGCCATTAGTTTATTTTCTACAAAAATTAAGGCGTACCGGCGAATGCAGACAAGACAAACACAACAGGCTACACCAAATTAAGGCCGGTATAATTTGAAAAAACTCAAAAACTTTGACACAAGCTTGATAACTTACAGCAGTGACGTTGGTAGCCACATTTATACCCTCAATGAAAGCAGACCCGGAGTCTATGAGCAGATCTCCAGTCAACATGTTGAAAGTGGTACTCTTTCCTAAACAAAACAAGTCCAGTCAGTCATTACATAATAAGCACAGCACAGTAAGCAGCTAGACAAAAACATAGCCGATAGAAAGTTGTAAAACAGCCAATCAACTCAAGGAGACTTAAAGATTGATTTTTTAATTTTCGACTTGCCAACAAAATTTATGAATTAAAGCTGTTTGAAGTTCGAAAACCTTTAACGAACAAAAATTTTTCGCGAAAACTAATTAAACCATATTAGGAAAAACTATTGGGATCTAATGGTAAAACTTTTATTACGCTGAAAATTCTCAAAATTAAAATCCACTCTCGAAACAAGCACTAATTCAGGTTTCTTCGAGCTATTTGTACGTTGACAGTTCTCGTTTCAGCTGAGCAGCTGCAGATGTGTGCTTTCAGACTGAATATAATGAACAGCAGGGTTAGAATTACGAAAAAAGAACAGTAGGGCTACTACGTTTACCAGTGTTTTATTATTTGGAGGGCAAAATTGTCTTCATTAAACGTTAAAGATTTTCCTGCACGTCCGAAGAATGCAATGATCATTATAATTGAAAAACACAATTATGACCACGAAAACAGATTGAAAAAATTCGCTTTGTCAAATCAATATTTCCTAAAATCTTTTTGTATTTCATTCTATGATCATAATTATTTTCACTTGCGACACATTTAATGACTAAAGACAACAACCTACATTCACGTATACTTCATCATAGATATGATAGCAAAGAGTTCGCTTAAGAAAAACTGATGTAGCTAAATGACGCTGTTTCATAAAAGCATCAACTGAGCACAAAAATTTGCCAATTCGATTGCTCAAAAAAGGACTGATCTCCTGCCGCACCAGTTTAACCACTTTTAAAAATGCAGTTGGGGTGGAAAAAAATCTGATCGGTTGTTAAAAAAGTTTTAAAAAATTGAGAAGTTGGAACTGACCCGCTCCATTGACCCCCAGCAGTCCGAAACACTCCCCCTTTCCGACTCCAGCATAGAGTCCATGGACGGCCTTGTGCTGAACGCCTCCACACATTCCTCTGTATGTCTTCTCAATTCCCTTGATGACCATGACGTCTTTTTCAGAGTGGCCACCACCTCGGATCAATCTCGCTTTTTCTTCTATTACATCTGGATCGTTGGTGAAACAGTTGCTCACTCTCAGGTCATTCTCGGCGCTGGATTGCTGGCCCTGTTAACCAACAACGAGCCTCAATAATTTCAAGTGCACAATAAACTGACAATACTAAGGGTGTCACATGACGCGCTACATGATTTGATGTCATGTCACTTAAAGACTTAACTAGGTTGCAGATGCTCACCACTAGAATGATATAAAACTCCATAATTAATTACAGATTAAATCAGTCAACCGCTTAAGAATTGGCTATTCATTACCGAAACATTCGTAGTTATCCTACACTTCTTTGAAGTTTGAAAAACTACTTCAAACTTCCTCAAAGTGGATCAAATAATTTCCATCAGCATCCTTTTTTGTCCAAACAACTTTTTAAGTAACTTTTTTGCCAAAACACTTTGATCGAACCAAGAAATTCTACGGAAATGGCTTTTTTTTCTCAAAAAATCTAGCCAATAGACAGTTGCTAAAGAGCCAATAAACGCGAAAAAAATCGATTATTTATGGCCTTAAAGCTCTTTGAATTTCTGAATCAATTTATGATTGACAGTTTATCGATAAAATTTACCCAATTTGAGAAATCTGGATCAATAGATAAGCTTTATTTTTCGCTGGGAAATCTGAAAATTAAACTCCATTTTCGAAATTAGAAGTCGATCACGTTTTTCGTGGCCATTACACTTTTGCTGTTCGATAGTCGAGTTTGCCTTCCTTTTAACAAAGGAAATGATCTTAAATTAAAGATCTTAAATTTTTTATGAAACTCACCTTCGGTGCCAATATATCGCGCGCCAAAAAACCGCGATTTTTTTGTCAAAATGTTCCAAAAAGTGCCCAAAAACCACTTTTTGGGCCTGTTTTTTCAAAAATTTGCCTGCCGCGCAGAATTTGGCCAATTTTGTCGACCTATAAAAAAGTTAAAATTTCCGAAATTTTTAAAAAATCCGCCCCCCCCTCGAGAAAAACCTAGATCGTCCCCTGAAACTCAGTTACAAGTCTTTCTTCGGTGGGACCAGCTATATTAAACGAAATATATATTGGGTGAAATCAAAAATTTCAATTAAGATCGTACAATTTGGCAAAAATCGCATTAGATTATTACTGCCATTCGGTTGCTTAATTCTATATACACGCACAAAATAAACGCTCAGAACAATTCAACACAGTTAACAGTCAAACTGAAAAGTATCAATGCACTCAGGAAGAATAAAAAACTACTTTTTTAAAAGAAAAGTTACATTGGGTTAAAAATTTTTACCATTTCAAATATCTCTTACGATTGAGACTTTTTCAAAAGAATAACTCATTTAGAGAAAAACGGGTCAATAGGTATCTTTTACGCAAATTCTGAAAATTAAAACTCATTTTCGTAAAAGTCTTTTAATTCTTTGCATTTCTAGAACGATTTTTGATTGTCACTTTTTTGGAGAATGCTACTTACGTCACGATCTTTTCAGTTCAATTTCAATTGAACTCAAAAAATGCATATATACCAAAGTGCATCAATATTTTAAGACTTTTTCCTGAAAAAAAAACAAAAAACAGCAAGACCTATATAAGAGTCTTCACTACGCTCATTACTCTTAAAAAACACTCGAAAAGTATCATCAAGACCTATATAAGAGTGTTCACTATGTTGATGAATTAAAAAATCAGATGTCAAGATGCAAAAAATCAAATTTGAGTCTGAACAAATTCCAAGAATTTAGCTATTAAAACTGCGGCCTATATAAGTGTTTTCACTTCGTTCATTGATACTAAATATCACACTCCAGCATTGGCGGCTGATTCACGCAGACACTGATTAACGCGCACTATAAATCATTGGCAAGTGCGATCGCCACTAGCCAATTTCGTGTCAGGAAGCAATTGCAACACCAACACAACTCCCAGCTTAAATTTGGCCGTATACATTAAATTTTATATTCGCCCAAAATAGATTTTGCCTATTAAATACAGTTCAATTTTTGATCTAATACAGTTCGAGTTGAAAGGGTCGAATGCGTCTTTATTAATCAAGAAGTTGTTAGTATAAGATCTCAATAGATAAAATCACACTGCATTAAAAACTTACCCTTCCCGACTAAATTCAGAACATTGAAGTTAACATCTGGATGAAAGATTTTTTTGATAAAAAACACATAGCCAAGAAAAAGGCAAGAAAGCATTGATGAAGTCAAACTAATCAAATCCAAGGATCAATTGAGCAATCTCTCCCCCCACCCCAAGTAAAAACGGTTAAGACGCTACAAAAAGACGTCAGCAAACGCAAGTAGATGGTTGCTGTGATCATAGCACGCAATCAATTTGCCTACTGAAGTTTGTTTTGTAGGGGTATTGAGATAAATTTTGAAAAAAAAGAAACTTTTTTTTGCAAATTTTTATTTGGGCGACCATTGCCTTATCGAGAAAAGTGAGTTACGATTTCATATCATTCAAACTTTTTTCAAGTGGTTATAAACATGCTTCAAGTACCTATTGAGCTATCTCCGCCCACGCGAGAATGGGGGGGGGGGGGTGGAATTGCTCAATTGATCCAAATCCAAACCCTAGAAAGAAACGCCTTGTCGAAGAGCTCTATGTAGCCCCGCTTATAAACGAACTACAAAAACGAAAAAAAGTTCTTTATATTCAAAATTTTTTTTACGAACAATCCAAATGTTGGCTTACCGATCCGAACAGTCTGGTGAAAATGAAACTGAACAGTCCGTATTCGATTAGAAGCAGAATGAACCAGTAGACAAAGCCATCTATGATGAAACAGATGATGTAATAGCTGATTCCTTCTTCGAACTCAAAGTACGTGAACTCTTCCGGCAAACCTGAAGACAATGTTATCAATTTTTACACTGAATAACATACGCAGATATTGCCCAGAAAAAATACGATATTTGTTTTAAAAAGTAAGCTGAGTAGCAAAGCATATGTGAGGTGAATTGAAACTAGTTAGCTTGATTTCGAAGAATTATTTTTGACGACATAACTTGTTAAGGCTCAAATCCATTTTCGCAATTAAAATTTTATCTGATAGTGAATCCAATACTAATTTTAATGCTAGAAGCTACACCACTTCCCATTTTAATTATTGTTCCGACTTTTGATACGAAAGTAACGGAATATTTGTGCTCGGGGTGGGTTTTTTTTTCTTCAGACAAATTTCGACTTTTTAACTAGCCATTTTTGACGGAATTTTTTTATATCATTCAAAAGGTATTGTTGTCCTGAGCTTAAATTTGAAAAGATATTTCACCTGTGATCATTTTTCGTAGAGTTATGAGGGCTTAAAGATTGCCATTTTGGCCATTTTGACCAATTTGGGACAATTAACGCGCGATATAATTCGCGCTATTAACGCGTAAGCGGAGATGTAATCCGTCTAATAAATCGTTCCAAATTGGTTGAACGAAGCTTATTTGCCATAATTGATTTGTTACAAGGAACGAAATCTCTCTTTTTGTACTTTATATGGCGTGTGGGGGGATGATTTTCATAAAAAATTCAAATTTAAAAAAAAAAATTCGTTTTATTTTATTTCATTTAATTTTTTAAATGTTATTACTGCTGCTCCATAAACCTTAAAGGCAGTCGGAACATTCAGGGCTTCGCCCTGATACGAGCAGTCTTGTTTACATTTGGAAACTATCGGATAAAACTCTCGAATATTGTACTTTTTTACAGAGATTGTTTCACTCAGCCAGGTTTCCGAAAATCCATTTTACTAATCGGCAGTCGACTAAAAAGTCCATTTGTTTCTAAAAATTAAGTTTCCAAAGTTCAGGAATCATATATACAGAATTAGTTTCCATTTTTTGCAATACATTTTATGGTCCTGTATATCCAGACAATCCATAACAAATTTTGATCAAACAACCGTTTTTTTCGTCAAATGTCCCATCAGGAAAATTTTCAACATCTGATGCACATCATCAAGAAACAAGATTTTGCCGCAGATTTTTAGAGAAAAAAAGGGATCAGAAAATATAAATTGTTGTCAATTCTTTTTGTCGCATCTAAATCTGCAAAAAATAGTGGTACTAATGCTAAAAGCCAAGGTGTTTAAACAGACAAACTGATCATGAAATATGATCAATAGAAGTTTTGCTGTTGCCTGTGACGTGTCTTGCAGTATTGTTACAAATAAAACTAATTCAGCCGTTTTGTACTGCTATTTTCAATCCATTTATCCATATAAGAGTCACCAACCAAAATTGTTTTTAAATTAGTCAGAATTTTCTTGTACAAAAAATTATAAAAATGATCAACATGAATATTTGGAGGATAGAAAACAGAGATCAGAAAAAATATTTGTCAACTGGATAAATTAAGATTCGAATCCCTTTTCGCAATTTATATTTTGGCTGTTAGTGAAGCCAAAAATACTTATAATACACTTCGCTCGCAAGTGTAATTTTGTTAGAAGCTACACCACCTCAACTTTTACTAGTTACACATTTGGAAACTATTGGATAAAGTTCTCGATAATTATTCTTTGTCAGAGCTCAATTTTCACAAATTCGGAAGAGAAAAGCAAAGAAATTGTGTCTGTTCAGTTGTGGACCGTTTAAAGCGCGTTGACTGGTTGAGAATTTTCACTCAGCCAGCTGGTTTCGGAAAATGCATCGAGTACATTTTATACATACACACATACTTGTATATTCTGTGTACACTTTATACTATGAATAACTCTACACTGACCTAGCTCCCTGGCGCCTTTATTCCTGGTGTAGACTGAGTTGGCGTCTATGAGTGCACACGCGATGGAGCTCTGAGGGAAGAACAGACAGAGGAACATCACTATGCCCTCGCCTGAACTCTCCAGCGCCTTCAGAATGTAGTACGCAATCGCAAAACCTTAAAAACAAGTCACAAGTCAAACCGCTAACAGTTAAGCATAAATAAATTTCAAGTCAAGGCTTTTCCTGAAAAAAGCACATGGTTTGACTTTGACAGATACCCAAAAACGAACTTGCGCCTTAGCATTTCCGATCAAAACAATAACTAGAATCTCTTGATTTATAATCATTTTGACAATTTTTCATAAAACGCTTCATTAACACAGTGTACTTTTTCTGTGACTATATTCCATCTTGCAATTTTTTTTTTTCATTTAACTTTCGCTCATGAATATAAATCCATTTAACTAATCTTTTTAATTTTCTCATGCAATATCTGACTGACCGATAGTTCCGACGATGTTGATGAGTGCTAGAACGAGGAATCCATTGGCTGGCACTGAGCTGGGCTTGGACAGTAGATACATCATGGGCAGCATGGCCCACGCATACAGCAGCAGAATCAGAATGAAATGTCCTACAAAAGGCAATTTTAAAAAAATTATCGGATAATAAAAAATAATTTTCCGGTTTATTTAAAACAAAAAATTTTTGTACACTTCACAACCTGGCTAAACTACTTCTGTCAGGCTTGAAACTAAGTTTTAAGTTCTACAAAAAACAAGGTTAAAAACAGACATTTTCAACTAACAGATTTTAGCGGAAAAACCTTTAGCCGCTCTCCCAGAGCCAAAACAAAACGATTACTCAAATTAAATAACCAAAAAATCAGTTGGTTCAATGATGGCAAAGTTTTAAAATTTTTTTCTTGTTTGCGCTTCTCCGACATCAGCTTGAGTTCTTAAGTATCAAAATTGCTGTTGAGTTATTACGAGGTTTGATATTATTTTTTCTTCATCTGGTTACTGACCTGCCATTTCGTCACACCAGCCCTCCAGTTGGAATGCGACAATGAGTAGTAGTAGGAGGAGGACAGTGACCAGGTAGTTGCAGAAGTCCCACAACAGAGTTGACAGCCAGTAGGTGATAGTGTTCACGCCACTCACCATCTGAACACAAAATATATATTCAACATAGCCAACAGACAGTTGGAAAAGGAGGAATATGAGTTCAAAACAAAATTATCCTCCGTTGTAGGTCGATCAGCTACAACCAGAACTTTAGTTGATTCAAGACATAAGGCTCCATTCAAGGCTTTCATGTGAGTTGTTGGAAAATGAAGAAAAAAAAACACCCAAAGGACAGGACAATTGGAAAAGATTCATGAACAACGCAAGGAAAAATAAAAACAACGACTTTCGAATTTCAATTTTTTTAAACAGGGCCTTACAGCCCATACCCTTTGAATTTAAAAAACGATTTATGCTTGCCATTTTTTTTTTGGATAAAATTAGCCCAATTGGAGAAAACTAGATCAATAGATTCTTTTGGGAAATATGAAAATTAAATTCCATTTTCAAAATCGGAAGTCAATTGCGTTTTTCTTGATCTTTACACTTTTGCTGTTCAATAAAGGAGTTTGTTTTCCTTTCAACAAAAATATGAAGTGTAATTCAAAAGAAATCACAAATCAAAACGCAAAAAAAACATGAGCGTTTACAAATTTTAAGACTTTTCCTCAAAAAATTACCAAGACTTATTCACTACGTTCATGACTCTTAAAAATGAGCAAACCCAAAATTACTTAGAAACTGGATCAATTACAGAAAACTGGATCAACAGTTATTTTTTTCATTCCACTGGTAAATCTAACAACTAAAACCGCTTTCGAATTTGTCGCTCAAGTTTTGTCGCGTTATTTGCACATTTTTCAATTTTGGAAAAAATCAAAAAGCATACACCAAAAATCAAACGTGATCTAAATAATTGTTTTCACTTCATGCATTATCAGAAACAAAAAAATCAAAATTCTTGGAAGTTACGTATCTGTACAATAACAGAAACAATCCAACATGAGTTGAAGCTATCGTACAAAATTGATTTAATGACAAGAAAAAACGCTCATGTGCTGGCTCGACACGAACCCCTGACCTTCTTCTTTCAGTATTTCAAAGTATGCCAATACACCCGTGCAAAAAAAACGATTCAGACGTTTGAACTGAATGGAAACTGATACATAGCGGATCTTCGGAAAACTTGCGAAAAAAATTCGAAAAAAAATCTTTTTGAAAAGACTGCCATATATTCATTGTTTTTTTTTTAAAAAAACGAAGGTAAGCTGCAATTCCTAACTGTACAACCTTACAAGATTCCTTACTAAAAATAAGTAAAAATAAGTCAGTCACTTAGGCCAATTCACACTTCAAAAATGCTCCCTTAGTAAACTAAACCGAACAAGTTCTTTTCAAAAAAGTAAAATCAATTCTTTTTAGAAAATTTCGTAACTAAAAAAGGTAATTTTTTAAAAGTCACTTAGGCCCATTCAAACTTCAATAATGCTCATTTGGTAAATTCAACCAACGTAATATCAATTCTTTTTCGAAAACCATAACAAAAAAATATTTTTTCAAAGGTCACTTAGGGCCATTCACACTTCAAAAATCCTCGTTTAGTAAATTAAACGAAACGAGTTATTTTCAAAAATGTAAAAACAATTCTTTGTCAAAAAATCATAATTGAAAAAAGCTAATTTGAGTTGATTTCAAAAACTCTAAAACGGAGTTGATTTCAAAAAGTTGATTTCTGTTTCAAAGTTCGTAAAGAAACATATTACTTTTCAACAGTCACTTAGGCCCATTCACACTTGAAAAAGTCTCGTTTAGTAAATTAAAGGAGCATAACTTATCATTTTGATTTATCACGAATATATGTTAAATGGATAGCCAAGACAACAAATAAAGCCAACAGTCAGTTGGAAAAGTCTTTGACAAGAAGTTACATTTGGCCGCACTGATTGAAATTTGTTATTGGCCTTATAGCAAAAAATTTGAACTGAATATAAAAAGAAAACCATCAGTAAAACCACGAACATCAAAATTGAGCATGATAAAGTTTTTAGGGGAAAGCAGACCTTCCCACCACTTACCAAATCACATAGAAAAAGCATCGCATAACTTATCATTTTGATTTATCACGAATATATGTTATGGATAGCCAAGACAACAAATAAAGCCAACAGTCAGTTGGAAAAGTCTTTGACAAGAAGTTATATTTGGCCGCATTGATTGAAATTTGTTATTGGCCTTATAGCAAAAAATTTGAACTGACTATAAAAAGATAACCATCAGTAAAACCACGAACATCAAAATTGAGCATGATAAATTTTTTAGGGGAAAGCAGACCTTCCCACCACTTACCAAATCACATAGAAAAAGCATCGCAAGCTAGCACAGATGAAGTGAAAAGAAACCAAAAGGTCGAGCAATCGATACGAAAAGGTCGAACCAAAAGGTCGAACTATCGATACGAAAACAAAATTTTTCGACCTAATAACTTTAAGCTTTAAAATCAACGCTCCCTCCAAAAAAAGGCAACTTTTAATAGTCTGTTTTTCTTTTCGCGACGCAAAATAAGCTTACCGAGCCGATATAACATAAGCCCAAATCATGTAGCCCAAATAAATCAAGTTCTGGTCAGATTCCAACCTAGGATTTATACCGTCCCAGGTTGGCCGTTACCTTTAGGATAAGTGTGCCGGAGATGCCCAGAAATTAGAATTTAGTTTAAATCATGCTATCAAATGATTGACGTATTTTCGTTAAACAAGTTATTGAGCTGAAAAAAGTATGTAATCTGATTTGATAGCGCTTGATAGTTGCAAGCTTAAAATGGTTTTTGTGAAAAAATCCTCGTGACATGTATAAGTTTATTCAGGGAGGTCATTGACATTAAATTACAAAAAATACTGAAAAATTGAACGTTTTAAATTACTCAAGTAGCTAGCGAATAAGCAAGCTAGCAAATAAAAAATTGAACCGAAATAACAAAATCAAAAAATACCATTCTGGAAGAAAATGAAAATAATTTCTAAATAAAATTAGCCAATCGAAGATTGGAAAAGAGTAATGAACATAAGTAAACAAAAACAATGAAAAAAATCTCAACTTTGTAATTTCAAAGAAAAAAATAGATGCCCTTTAAGTTCTTTGAATTTCTAGAACAATTTATCATTTGCGCTTTACTGATAACATGAACCCAACTCTAGAAAACTGGATCAATAGGTAAGGTAAAGTTTATATTCCGCTGGAAATCAAAAACAGAAATCTAGAACAATTTATCATTTGCGCTTTACTGATAACATGAACCCAACTCTAGAAAACTGGATCAATAGGTAAGGTAAAGTTTATATTCCGCTGGAAATCAAAAACAGAAATCTAGAACAATTTATCATTTGCGCTTTACTGATAACATGAACCCAACTCTAGAAAACTGGATCAATAGGTAAGGTAAAGTTTATATTCCGCTGGAAATCTAAAAATTAAATTCCACTTTCGAAACAATCGTTCACGTTTTTTGCGCCATTTCCACGTTCGTATTTGGAGAGGGCTATTTACGCCATTTTCAGCAGATGAAATTCAATTGAGCTCAAAAACTGCATATATACCTAAGTGCATTCATAATGCATCATTATGTATGAATGCACATCTTAAGTTACAAGAGACTTTTAAGACTTTTACTGAAAAGGAAAACTAAAAAATCAGCAAGACCTATATAAGAGTCTTCACTACGTTCTTTATTCTTAAGCAATCCAAAAACACGACCAGTATCGAACAAGCTTTTAGTATTTATCTAGCGGCAACTTTTATGAGCCGAAAACAAAAAATGCCAAATAAAATTGTTTTAAAAAATGCTGACTAATTAAGTTTTAAAATTTTTGAAACCTTGCAACACAAACTATTTTAATTTTTCAACGAAAAATCAATCATTTTTTGCCATTGATGCCATACTCAATAAAATGACGCAATTGATAAAAAATAAACCGTTTAGGTCGAATAAACCTCAGCTTTAAAGCGAAAAACAATAAGATAACCAAGGAAAATATACGTCAGGGCTTTTAATTTAACACAGTACAGAGTAAATCAAAAACACTTGTATCTACGATGAAAATTGCTGACAGCACAAGAAAATTCCCCGATATGTTATTTAACAAAACCTTCCATTTTATTGAAAGTGGAAAAGTAGAGGTCCTGGCTGTGATCGAACCTCCACACATATGTCGTCAAGCATGAGCTTTAAATCCAAGCAAAAAGGCAAAATGCAGATGGAGTTTCGAACTAATAACTGAATTCGAGAGGGTAAAACGGGACAAAGTCTAGTACTTCTCGATTCCGTCACTAATTATAAAAAGCCATCAAATAATTTGGTTATTTCGAAAGACAAATTGCTTGCCAAAATCGCAAGCGCAAAATCACAAAAAATAAGAGCATTTTATTCCACAAAAACTCCACTCCACTTCATAATCTCCAATTTTTGCCCCATTTGTTCTTTGGTTTCTGGAGAGCACAATTTGTCTTCATTTTAACAGTTGACTTTGAATTGAGCTTGAACAAAGTCAGAAATCAGAACGCAAAAAAATAAATTTGAGCATCAACTACTTTTTAGACAAAAACAATAAGTATGAAGACAAAAAAAAAACAAGACAAACAATAAGTATGTTCAATTCATTGATTGACTTTTCAGAACACCAGCGACTTTCTCTTAGTAAATTCTGTTCACATAGTCCGATTGTTACAAAATTTGGCATGCGGACTAATTAGGCTATGACAAACATATTTGATCTTCACATCTAACCTCGCAAACCCACTCGCTACGCCAGAAAATTGATGCTTATGTGAGGTGGGGAAAAGGAAAAAGAGCCAAAGTTATAACTAATCGATTGTGCTGAAAATTAAAAGTTTTGTAGCTGAATAATGTGTGACCTGTATGTGTTTGGATCTGGCGGCCTTCTCCCTGACGAGGAACACGACGAAACTGCCCATGAGGAAGCCCAGTCCCATGCCAGCCATGTAGAAAGACAGCAGAAACGCATCTGCAGTCCTGCCATGTCAACACAAATCAGACTAATTAGTTGAACAGGATTACCATATGAAAGAATGTCATATTAATGTGCGCAATCATCCGCCTTTAGCCAATTTTTGCACTCTAAGCAAAAAACATCATTCATATAGCGTGAATGATTCAAAGCAAACAGAGCTTTGAATTAAAAATAGACAGTCTTGGTCCTATTTTAATACACAGTAGATACTGTTTTATTTATGAAACTTAATACCAACTCTTTTTACTCAATTAATTCAGATGGCCTAATGCACGCAACACCAGACTAATAGGAGAGAACTATTGAATTAGTCGTAGTCTGTTCTGAATACTGTTCAGGAATGAATTGTGTTTATCTATACAGGTATTGCCGAAACAATTAAATTCACTCTGTTAGGTAAGTAAAATTACACAAGACGTTTGACATTAATAAGGGAGAGACATATTAAGATTGAAGACTATGCGCAACAGCTCAAAAAATATAATGAATAGCTGATAGATATACTCCGAAATCAATTTTATTTTAACTTCAGCTATTTAATGAAACTATTTTCCGATGAAAACTAATTTGTAAAAACATTACAATTGACGTATATGCACACTGCCACAAATGATGCAGATTTGGAAAGAAATGGGCAGAAAAGCTGTTCTCCATAAAATAGCTCAACAGCTCGTATGATCGTCATTTCCCTGGTGGACACTTAAAACTGCAATGAATTGCCTATGCATTGGAGCTAACTAGCTACTATTCAGATGGGTACCAAACAATGCGCCAACAATTTCAAATATAGTTAACAGACAGTTGGAAAAGAGTCAATGAACAAGGAAACCTAAAAAAAACAGTTTTTTTTAATAAAAGTTCTACTTTAAAATGTCAAAAATAAAAATAGATGGCCTTAAACCTCTTTGAATTTTTGATAAAATTAACCCAATTTAGGAAAAAGCTGCACTTCGCAAACATAAGCAACCAAAACAGTTTTCAATTTGCGCGATTGTGAAACGAAAAAAAAAAACGCTTCTAAAAACCACTTACATGACTCGAAACTATGAACTAAAGAATTCGAATCTAACGTCTTGATTATCAGGAATATTATCATCAGAATAAAAGCTACCAATAAAGCAGATAAAACACCTGAGAAAAACAGATAGTCAAATTGAGCTCTTTTGCAGTGCACTTATTTATTCGAGTTAGGTCGCAAACAACATCAAACAAACTCTATTTTTCTACGCTCGCTGGTAAAAAAAATCATAAATACAGAAGCGAAGCGGAGCACAAACGTAGCATGGCAAATTATCTGACAGAAGATATGACGAAGCCGCTAAGTCGGCGAAAATCGAAAAAAAACTAGATCAATCAAATATTTGTACGTCGATCTCAATATGTAATAAATCAATGAAAAAAAAACACGTCACGACATCTCACTCAGTGTAAAAAAAAATCAAAACTATCTTAGCAGATACCCACTAAATAAATTTCACCGAATCAATAAGAAGCAAAAAATCAGAGATAGTAATTTGCCTAAACATAAAAAGCAAATTTAGACAAAGAGGCGAAGTTGCACCTCGCATACACAACCAAAAATATGACCGATAAAGCTAGTGGGAAAAACTGAATGAAAAAAACTTTGAGTCTATAAAATTTCTTAAGTAACGCACGCCAATTATGACGCATTAGCAGTATCAATCAATTTGAAAAAAAATTACCAACAACCTTGCCTCAATTTATAGAGCGGACACACTTTAACTAGTATACGAAAAAGTTCATTAAAAACACCCGACCCAGCCCAGGTTCGAACCCTCTTATTTTGTTGCGGGTCTCCTTCCCTACCTCTACGCAACAGATCCATGATACTTTGAAGCTAAAGTGCTATTTGTAATATAGTCTGTGTTAATATCCTTAGCATTGTCTGTACTTAATAGCTTGTTTTTGATCAAAATGAACACTTTCAAAATGAACACTAATATTTGCGACTTAGGTAGGAAAAAAAGAGAGTTCAATACTATAACACAAGCTTTGCTTGTGTAAATAGAACGGGTATTTGAAATTCAGGCAAGCTCAATATATGTCTGTTGATTCACGAATGATCAGACTTGGAGATGACCACTAATTAAGTATATGGGAAAAAAGGCTAGGAACTGGTTGCAATACCCTTGCTAATCATAAGTGTAACGAATAGCCGCAGGCACACTTCTACTATCACTGATTGACTAAATATATTACAAAAGGGGCTATTCTATCGACATAAGGACCAAATGAGCGAAATTTTTCAACCAGTCGACGACCAATAAATAGCTAACGACCTAAAACCAGCTTATTTTTTAAAGATTTTCAAATACTGAAATCCAATTGACGAGCATTGTTTTCTGGCATTTGGCCCCTTTTGGTATGAGTTATTTCCCCGTTAAGTTAGCATTGCTATAATGGTGAAAATAAGTATCATTTCGCCTTCTATACTGATTGACTCTAATAAACTATGGACCGATTATTTACAATAAGTTGAACAATTAAGGAGCTTATAACGAAAATGCAACTCACGGCTCATCGGCCGCCTCTTCCAACTCCTCCTCCGTCTTGGGCAGGGGGGCATTCACCGCAGTTATCTTGGGCACAGTGCCAGTGGCCCTGTCTCTGATCACAGCATTCATCAGCATCTGCAACGACAGAGGCGCCGAATGGAATGGTTGACCGTTGAACCATGCTGTGAACACGCCCACGCCAGAAATGTCTTCGAAAGAGGCTCCTGTATTTAAAAAACCATTTTTTTTCACTTGCGCATACCATCATGATTTGAAAATTTCGTCATTAGTCATGAATTTGGATACACTAGCCGAAGTATAAACGAACCATTAACGAGCAACCTTGAGTATAACCATCTGAAAAATACGTTATTTTACTCGAGCTGCGCGTAACATTGGTAACTGTTACATGTTTATTACGTAATTCTTCAGCATTTTTGGCTGGTTCCAATGGTAGCAGCTATATACAGCGGCTGGTTTATATGCCATCATAATTAAAATTCAAACAATTTGGCTTCTAGTTTCAGTTTTAGCTATTCCTTCATAAGTTATTCCAATTTTCACCGTCAAAATGTTTGGCTTTTTACTACGAAAAAATTTATGCCCTGAAATTTCTGCATAACATTTTAAGAAATAATCTCAACGAGCAATGAATATTATTCTTGTCGTTTTCGTATAACATCATCAATCTCAAAAATTAACCAGCAATGCTTCAAACAAACAACGCCACAAAAAGTAAAATAAGATTTGTCGAAAAATTTAATAATTGAAGCATTTACTGAAGGCTAAAAACCAGCACTTCAAATTTATTCGTTATCAATGCCGTCAGCCATTAAATACGGCTTCTGTATTCAAAGAATCTATTGGCGTCATCTCAAACTTACCCACGATATATTTCTGGTTGAATTCGTCCACTTGATCCCTTCCACTCTCTCCGAAATATGTCGTAATATTTTCTGCCGCGTCCGGGGCATCTCTCGCAAACGTATTCCACGCTCCTAAAAAGAAAAGTTAGCAAGAGTTTAAATCACTACGTAAATACAATTCGCACATACCCAACGAAGTATTCATTAACTCTCGTAAGCAGAAAAAAACTTTAATTCCCATAAGAAAAAATATTCAAATGAAAAATATATCATAACATGATTGTCACTTATTTGGTACAAAAAACAAATTTTACAAAACTGGATCAAGAAGTTATTTTTCATTCCACCTGAAAATATAGAAATTAAAAAGACCAACTATGGCTAAGTTTTTTCTCAAAACCAAAATGTAGCTTCATCAGAAAACAAGTGGCCAAAACAGAACCTCCAACAAATTGTTGCACTAGCATTTATAACATGCTGGAAAAATAGGAGCAGTCTTTTTTATGGTATTTTATCTTATGAACAATGTTCCAAACTGGACAAAAAATGTTTGAATAACGAAATTTAGCCTGTTCAGTTAAGAAAAGATTACTTTCTTGAAGTGAAATGTCATCCCTCACCTAGTGAGTCTATGTACTTCTGTTTCAAGGCAGGGAAATCATTGTTAGGATCGTACAGAGTGATAATGTTGTCATCGAACACGGCCAGGTCAAACGTGTAGGGCTTGATATCTTCTTGGTCAGAAATTATTCTCTGAAACAAACCAAAGACTCGTTAATATTTATGAGGATAAAAACATCAGCAATTATTATGATGCAATTTGTTTTGCGAAATTTGGGCCCAAAACTTTAATCCAAAACGGATCATTTTTGACTTCTTTTAGTTTATCAAAAAATACCCCAAAACTATTGGTCAAATACTGACCAAAATATATCAAAGTGAGACTGTTACGCAGCGCAAAAAAGAAGGGTATATTCTCCAGAAAAAGTTCTCAAAACTTTAAAAATTGCATTAAAATGACAATTTTTTCCAAAAAAAAAGAATAATTTTTTAAATATGTATTGGAGATTACATTCTTCTCAAACTTTGTTTGGCTAGGTAAGAGACTCAGTTGGCTATAATTTTGGCAGTAACTGACTCAGTAGTTTTAGCGTTATTTTTGATTACAAAGAAGCCAAAAATGTTCTACTTTTTTTGCGATAAAAATTTGGGCCGGAATTTCGCAAAACAAATTGCACCATATTGATTTTGCTAAAATTCTAAGCAGGCTGTGTCATTTTTCACCTATAATTAGCCAATTTGATTTCAAGAAAAAACGCGTTTTAAATTTTAAGCTTTATCCGGATAATTTAAATCAGCTGTAGAATTCGATTAAATTGTTCGTGACCTTTACACTTTTGCTGTTCGATAGTGGAGTTTGACTTCCCTTTAATAAAGGAAATAAACTGAACTTCAAAAAAAAAGAAATCAAAAGTCGAACCGCGAAAAAGTAAATTTGAGCCTGAACAAATTTCAAGACTTTTCCTGAAAAAAAAAATTATCATCGCGACCTTTATAAAAGTCTGCACTATGTTCATCGGCTCTTAAAAATTCACAGCGAACGAGCATCATCTATTCTAAAAACGCCTTTTGTTTTCTGTTCTGCCTAACTATGAGACTAATTTTGAATCAGACCACGGAATCTTCATTTAAAAATTGTGGTCCTGCGCAGTACGCCAAAACATTACTCGGTCAATGCTTAAATAAGATGATAGATTAGCCCACCATGATCCGTTGCTCCAGGGTGTGACATCATTACCCAGCCGGGAAATTAGAAAAATTATAATTTTTGAATTAGGGACACAACAGCTGTTCTTACGCTCGTCTTTTCCATCGTGGATACATCGTCTTAAATGTTTTTTAAAAAGGGCAGATAATAGCTAAAAGGATAGATGATAGGCTTCGTTGCATACCTTTAAAATCCGTCGTATTAATAGTAAACAGAGATACCAATGAAATGAACACTGTCAATTTGTGTTCTGATTTTTAAATTTTTTTTTGCTTTTCCAGTCAACTTTTTTTAAAAAATGTTTGTTTCTAAATTGCCTATATTAGATGAATGTCAAATATGCCTAAATTATAGTGTTACATTCTTGCAGTTTTTTTAAGACTATGGTCGGAACATTCTGTCCTACTTGCACAGTAACCGGCTATCCTTGTTTTTCAAGTAAAATTAGTTTTTGGAGTTTTTGGATTTTTTTAGCCCCGTACTAGTTATGAAAATGATCAAAAATTTCAAAAACAATTTTCAAAAAATTTGAAAACAAATTCTTTGAATTTTTTTTTAATTTTAACCATTTTTCTGTTTTTCTAGTATTTTTCTACAAAAAACTGTTTTCTCAATTTGCCTGTTTTACTATAACTGTCAAATATGCCTTTTTCTAGTTTTTCGTTTGAATCCTTTTATGACAACACGCAGAAAAAAAACGACACTAATTTGAAAAAAAAAACTTTTCGCGTATTTTTTAAGATTATGGTCGGAACATTCTGTGCTACTTGCACAGTAACCGACTATCATTGTTTCAATTAGCGATTCATTATTACTAACCGTGAACAGGAGTGCTAGAAGAGTGAACAGTACTGGGACCAGTATCTGTGCAATGGACAATGCCCTCGACCTCCAAGTGTTGATGAGTCGCTTGTAGAGCAGAGCCTGCATCTGCTGACAGAACAGAGCCAAGCCAGTGTTACGAGTCACTGGCGTGAACTCTAAAACACAATACATTCTCACTTAAAAAAGGAAGGCAGGGTTTACAACATAACTGGCTCTTTTCCCTTTCCCTCGCATAGAATAAATTAATATTCTTTACCTATTTGAGAACCAGAAAGATAAAAGCGAGTGATTTAAGGACAAGAGAACATTCCCAAATGCCGAAAGGTCAATTGCAGGTATGAGTATGTGGAGTCAATTATAAGTCTGAGATTTGAGCCAATAACATTACGCTTTGAAGGCCTGCATATCTCATATTGGACAATTCTGGTACGGAAATTCTACTTCAGTAACTTTTTTTGACGCAACTTTCATTTAAACGAACAAGAAAAAAAGCGAAGAAAGTCAAGTAAATACGAAAATAAAAAGGTAGCCGTTTAGAAGGTATTTAGTATCAGTGCAGAGTCCTGAATGTTCCGACTGCTCTTTAGTAGTCTGAAGTTTCTAGGGTATCTAGTAGTTTTGGACTAAAAATGATTGAACTTTGAAAAAACTGTCTTCCCTCACGCAATGTGAAGCATATAAACATAAACAAGAAACAGTTGGAAAACGGAAACAATTTATTTGTGCTTTCAAATTGCCGAATTTCAAAACAATGTATGTGGCCTTAAGGATCTTTAAATTTCAAGAAAAATTATGCTTAATTTCAAGAAAACATGATTCAAGAGAAATTATGAAATCTTGAGGAACATTATGAAAAAAACTGGATCAATAGGTACAATTTATATTCCACTGGTAAATCAAAAAATTAAAATCCCCTTTTCTAAACTAAAACTCAATCACGTGTTTCACGACCTTAGCAGAGTTTGCCTCCCTTTTAAACAGATTCGAAGCTGCACTTCGCAAACACAAATGACAAAAAAAAATAGCTCCATAAAGTCAAAAAAAGAGAAAAAACACAACCAACAGACAATTAGATAAGAGTCATCGCTTGCTAGTTGCAAGCGTAATTATTTTCACCAAAAATTTTCGCCGAACACAGCAGGCTACTCGAACATCAGCGAAAGAAAAATTTGAACACATCTACCTCCGTGTAAAAATAACCAAAACTTTTTTTCACATTTTGCATTTATTGGTTTTTATAACATCGGAGAAGTTGACTTTGAGCTTATGACCAAAATCTGTCAATTTGAGTCTAATTCAAATTGAAACGTTTACCCAAAGTAATAGAAAAACATTTAAAAAAAAACAACTTGCATGGACCACTTTAAAATCAATTACGATCCCAAATAAGCAGTACATGTAAGATGTAGGTGGTACATTGAAATGAACTTGAAAATGGTAAATTAATACAAAAAGTCTACAACCCTGTTGCAATACCCTTCCTTAGGGCGTGGTAACTTTTAAAAAATCAAACTGCGAAAAATCAAACTTGAGCGTAAACAAAATTCAAGAATCATAGCGACCTATTAAAGTTTTTATTACGTTCACAAACTTAATTACACTGATGGACAAAATTAAGCACAATTTCACGTTTTTACTCACTAAAATGCCTTTTTTAAGGTCGATTTTTTGACAACATTTACTTAGATTTTTAAAGTATAAACAAGCCTCGCATGAGTGAAAACTCCGTTGAGCCTCGGATTCGATCTGCGAACTAGAGATCAAAAGTCTCACGCACTAACAACTCAGCCACGGACGCATAAAAAACAGGAAACACTAGCTGCAAATAAACAGAGAACAGATGCTGTGAAATTTCCAATGCTACAGATCGTGATTATAGCAAAAGTGCCACCAAACAAGTTAACTCTTTTAATAACACTTTTATTTGCGAGTTAGGTTGGAAAAAAGGGTTCGTAATGATACACTGCGCTTTCAAGTTGGCTAGTGTAAATCAGATATTCGGAAAACAGAAACCTATCTAGACTAGAAAAAAATCATGAAAAAATAACTGATCTCATGAAAAGCGTTGTTTATGTAAATAATAAACTCAGATTAGTTTTCAATAAAGATGGGTTCACATTGCTCATGTCTAAAACCACCGATAAGAAACTGTACAGACACAAAAACTGAGCACAGAAATGTGCAAATTGAAGGGAAAAGATGTCTCGTAAAAAACACAAGCTTTGCTGGTGCGCGTAAAATGGGGTTTTCACGATTATGATGAGGAAATTACGCATTTCGGGCTTTTCTCAAATTACTTAGAAGACTATGTTTGCGAGTAACAATGGAATCTCATTTTTCACACATCTAACGGCTGCAGATTTTTTTACACCCTCAAAATGAATTGATTGATCAATTTATCAAAGAATTTTGTCCAATTAGATTTTTGGCAAAGAAAACTGGTGCTTTATTTTTTACTTCTCGAAATTTAAGCTTCTTGTCTGATGAGAATTATACCCTATTTATCAACTTCTATCTTTTCCTAAAACGAAACGTTGGAATTTTCGAGTTCAGAGAAATGGGAAACTTCGAATAGCTCTTTCAAAACATGAAAAATTAGCTTCTAAATATGCATTGCTTTGATATCTGCTTAATTGTTATCTCGCATTCCATGCAGTCAAAATGCTCGGTACAAATCACACCAATAAAAAGGAAGCAGCGTTATTATTAGATTTCATTTTTTGAGGAAGGTAACGTGGTTTGATTTGAGTGCATTTGCAATATGAATTGAGAGCATTTGTATTTAAACAACGTACGTCGTCTTAAACATCGTCTTGTTAAAAGGCATTCCTTCTATGTTAAAGGAGCGCGTCAACAGTAAAACGGAAGGTATGAAAATAGATTGAAAAGATGAACTTACGCTGTTCTTCTTTAAATGAAGTCATCACTATAACTTCCTGTCCGTTGAATTGAACCGCCGTCGAATTAGACCCGTTCGTACCTCCATTGGTAGTGCCCGCAGGCAGATGCTCCTCCTCGTTTCCCTTGGCAACAATATTGTCCGTTGAATCGTGCGCAAATGCCGCGTTGTGTCTAAACCCATTTGAACATAAATTAGAAAAGCTCTGAAATAACAAATTAAGTCTCCTCAGTGACTATTGAAACTGAAAACTAGTTTGAAATTTCAAGGATGCTTAAAGAATTTAGACATTTGGAAAGCTTTTAGTGGCATAATGATTGGGATTGGTTCAAAACTCACCAAAATAGATGCTTGCTCATGTGGGACAATTGAGAAAAAATCCTTTCTGTTTGTTTTCAATTTACAAAATGAGTAGTACCCGAGGCAATTACATTGGTCTGGGAGAATACGAAAACAAAACCAGTTTCTTCATTAAAAACTAACTTTCAAGCAATTTTATAAGAAACAGCCGACAGAAATTTGCAAACAAAAGCTTAACTCATTAGAGAAACATAGGCGGAAAGGTTTGAACAAAAAACAGGTCTTCCACTGCGCCTCCCTCGTCCAATTGTTTGAACACTGGCGCCGCGGTGCCCTTTCAACTAATTGTAGAGTTTTAAGACCGCCAATTATACTGCCCACAACTAAAACTATTCAGGAGGCGCATTTGGCGCCAATCTGAACAATTTAGATGCGGAAGCGCGCACAAAAAAAACTTAATTTTTCTGGCCAAACCTTCAAAAATGCAGAATTCTCTAAACACAGCCAATAGACAGTACGACAAGAGTATATGAATGCAAGGAAATTCGAAAATGGAAAATTTTCCTACAAACAGGTCATTCTTTCCAAGTAAAAATATACGCCCTTGAAGCTCTTTGAATTTGAAAAACAAAATTAGATTGACACATTTTTAACATAGCCGACTGTAATAGGGTCAACGAACGAAACGAAACAGAAAAACATAGCCAACAGACACTCGAAAAAGAGTCAATGAACGCAAGTAAACAGAAACAGTAATTCTTACTTGTTTATTGAAAAAATCTCAACTTTCGAATTTCAATGAAAAAAAATAGATGTCCATTAAGCTATTTGACTTTCTGGAAAATTTTATGACTGTTTTTATACTTCCAGTTTTTTTCAAATTTTCAAAGTCATAAATTTTTCCAGAAAATCAAATAGCTTTATGGGCATCTATTTTTTTCAATAAACAAAACCAATTTGAGAAAACTGGAAGTATTTTGCATCCGCTCAATCGATATTGCTCGCTTTTGGCGATTAATTGAACCCCAATTTTTATAGTTGAATTATGAACAGTCCTTTTCTGTTTTTATCTCAGACGCAATTAACACACAATTAACGCACGCAAACAAAACCTACTTGTTTTTTAATAAAACTTCAACTTTGAAATGTCATCATAAAACACAGCCAACAGACATTTGGAAAAGAGTTAATGAACGCAAGTAAACCAAAAAATCGAATTTCAAAAAAAAACAGATAGCATTAACGCTCTTTGAACTTCTAGAGCTATTTATGATTAACAATTTATTGATAAAATTAAGCCAATTTGAGAAAACTGGATCAACAGGTACAATTTTTATTCTGCTGGGAAATCTGAAAATTCAATGCCACTTTCGAAACTAGAAGTCGGCCAGCTTTTTTGTGAACATTACACTTTTACTGTTCGATCGTGGAGTTTGCTTTCCTTTTAACAAAGGAGGAAAAGTAACTTACGAAGAAATCAAAAGTCAAACAGCGACAAAGTAAATTTGAGACTGAACAATTTAAAGATTTTTTCCTGAAAATAAACGGAAAAAAATCATCGCGTCCCATACAAAAGAGAAACACAATCACCACAATTAGGCAAGCTTGAATTTTTTTTTCTATTGTCCACAGCCAATATATACTAAATTTGAGGGGCGAGGTTTTTTTTTCGGAATTTCGCCTGCGGCGCAGAAACATAGAGTCTTCAAAGTGATTTGTGAGAGCTCGACCTAAAAATTTGTAAGAGTTCGACCCCCCCCCCCCACACACTCGAGAAAATCCTTGATCCGCCCTGCAATCAGGTATGGTAATTTTCAAAAACTACCAACGACACTGGCTCCATTTGATAAAGCTTGATAATCGCAAGCGTAATAAACTAAAATCAGAATAGCAAAAACAAAAATCACACACAGAGGCGAAGTTGCACTTCGCATACACATGCGAGCGGACGCAATTAAACTAGTATACGAAAAAGTTCATTAAAACATCCGACCCTGGCCAGGTTAGAACCCTCTTATTTTGTTCCTGCTCTCCTTCCCTACCTCTACGCTACAGATCCATGATACCTTGAAGTAAAGTGCTATTTGTAATATATACTAGTCTGTGTTAATATCCTTAGCATTGGCTGTACTTAAAAGCTGGTATACAAAATGAACACTTTCAAGATGAACACATTTTGTCGCAACAATATTTGCGACTTAGGTTGCAAAAAAATAGAGTTCATACTATAACACAAGCTATGCTTGTGCAAAAACCAACTTGCCGATTATGAAATTAACAGATGATATCGTAAATTTCACGAGGATACAAAGGAAATGAACTGAAATCAAAAGTCGCGAAAAGGTGTTTTTGAGCTTAAAAACATACAGAGGCCAAGCTTTGTTTCGCAAACACTGGCGAGAACACGACAAAAAGCAGCTCTTCAAGGCTTCAGATTGTGATTATGCATTTATAAGTGACCAAATAAGTGAACTTTTTAAACGAATACTTATTTGCGAGTTAGGTTAGAAAAAAGAAGTTTCGTACTAATACACTACGCTGCTTGCTAGTGTAATGACTTTTCCTGCAAAAAAAATCAAATAAAATCATTCCGACCTGTATAAGAGTCTGAACTACGTTCATCGACTCTTTAAAAATCACTTCAAGCATAAATATTCAGCATTTCTTCGAAGCCGCAACAATAATCAGAAATTGAACTGCCTAAAACAAACTTGAGCGTGAACAAACTCATAAATTTTGTCCTGATAACAAAAAACCTACATAACCGCAAACTCCCTTCTTCTCATGAAAGTAAAAACCGATTTTTCTTTGTCAATTAAAACTGCAGCATCTACCTTGGCGATGCCTCGTGAGTATTGGAGGCCGAGTAGCTGGGCGGCTTCTCATTCTCAGTCCCTTCTGTATTCCCCATTTCCGCCTCTTCATCCAGGTGGCCCACTCTATAACACAATTGGCCGATTGCAGTTCCTGCCTCAGTGCAAATCCACACGATTGAACTTTAAGGTACCAATTGAGCTTTCATGTTAATTTTTAGTCTTCAAATTTGAGATGTCTCTTCACGAAACTCTTCACGAATATCAGATGTCACTTTTCATCTTCCAAAATGATTTCAGATTGAAGTTTCATTTACTCAGAGTGAAGGATATACATTTACAGCATTTACCTCACAAGGATTACGGACGAGCCCTAAGGCTCGTTAAAGCCAAACTCTGGTAAACCAAAAAAAAAAAAAACGAGGTTTAAGAAGTTCAAAACGTATTTACCGCATGAACACTTCCTCCAAGGTTGTCACCGACACTCCGTAACTGGCAACTCCTAATTTGGCCTTCTGGTTGTCCAACTCATCAAACAGAGCTAAACACAAATGGTTATATTAATCAGTTTCGTTCATCTGTATGTGTGACAAGCATTTTTGGCCAACACTGAAGTTAGAAACCCAAGACCAAAGAGTTCGATGATTGCCAGACTTCCGCAGCAAAACTAATTATACTTCAGAACTTTAAAATCAAGTTGATGATATTCTCCAGCAAAAATAAAGAAAAAAGCCGATTTTAGCAACAAGAGTTGCTGCACATAATTGCATCACATTAAAATGTGCCATTTTTCCAAAAATGACAGCTGAAAAACTACAGTATCCATGAATATTGAAAAATTGTAGAGAAATAGAATTGAAGAAGAGCACCAGCCGTTTTTCGAAAAACCTAATTTCCAGGACAAAAAAAATATCCGATTAACTCAGCAGAAGCAAAGAAATCATTGAATTTAGAGGAACAGAAAAATTGGGGTTTTTGTATTAACAAAATTGTTATCACTCAGTCTCTACGTGCTATTCGTCTATTAGTTACAGATGTCTTCGTTTTTGGTCTCTTAACCAGTATATGAGATATGTACACATCGTCGTATGTATTTTTTCAGGTTGAGAAAACTTGATCAACGTGTAAATTTTAACCAGTTGTTGAAACTAGAAGTCACACATTTTTTATGAGGTTTGATCTTTTGATATTCGAGAGCTAAACTCGACTTCCTCTCGTTAAATCAATTCTAATTGATCTTAAAAAGAAATCAAAAGTTGAATCAAAAAATCCAAACTGAAAAACCAACGAAAAAAAGCTCAAGTCAATTTGTATGTGGTATGTGTTTTCACTCGGTTCATTGACACTTTAAAAAACGGACGAGCTTCAAGTCAAAACGCTTCAACTGCGATGATATTTTACGATTGGCAGCTTTTTCTTGAGAAAACAAAGCAAAGAATTTTTGGATATTGCCTTTAAATTTCCTGATTACCATGAATTACTTCACTTCTGTATAACTAATTTGCTTTCCCCTTTAAAACCATGAAAATGGCGATTATAAATATTTGTTAGTTTGATGACTATTTAACTGCACGAACAACTTCGTTTTTACCAATGTATTGTTTCGTGAATTCGTTTTTAGATCTTTGATGTATATTACTATGACGTATTTTGTGACGTATATGACTGCATTGCATTCGTTTTCTATATAAAAAATTTGTCCAAGAATAATTACCAAACGAATAAATATGAAGTGCTCGTTTTCTATCAAAAAAAAATTGTCGAGGAATAATAACCAAACGAGTAACTTCAAGCGCTTTTCAAAACGCTAGTCCTTGTAAAAGAGCGACTGCAATCTTCTTTTTCGAATTAAAACTAAAAAAGGGCAGTAGAAACTTGGATAATAAAACTCGACACGAACTCGGGCAGTAAAACTCGGTCATAAAATCGGACATGAACTAACTAGGGAAGTTGGGAGAGGATTCTTGGGGCAATCGGAAGGTCAGCTCAGCCCCTACATCAGACTCCTTTTCCACCCCAGGCACGTACTTGCCCAGAAAAGAGTACACATTGCTGGGGTCACAGCCTGGGGCTTTCTCTGCCACCATGTGGTAGCCCACGCCTAAATACAACAAGCAAACCGGTTAATTGTGCAGACAACACACAATGTTCAGAACACAGTAACCTACAAGGACGCAGCGATGCTTTGAACCTTTTGCGATACGAAAACATGTCAAAATATATATGCATTTTAATTTTAAAATGACTGCGACTAAAAAGCGACATTTTCCATATTTTTCAAGTACTTCAAGACCCATTCCCCAACTCTAGTCAGGCCGCAAAAACGTACATTTGAGCCTATAAAGTGTCACTACTACATTTACTCTTACACATTATCTATTATATATTAGACAAGAGGCTTCCCATACTGATTTCTTATGATAATGCGCAAATTGAAAGGATAGATCAAACTTTTTTTATGTGAAGACCAAACTAAAATTACAAATTTCCGCAGTAAAATTTAAACATAGCAAAAATTGAAAAATTTCAAGGAAGTCAAGAACATCAAGAAACATAATATTGAGTATTTTCGAAACAATTTTACAAAAAAACATGGCCGTCAAGTTACTTGCGATTCAAAATTCTTTCATGATCGAAATTTTTGAAAAAGGTAACGATAGATCGATAATTATTGTTCAAAGACAACTATTTCTATTAACACATTGTAGAAACTTTTCACTGCTTTTCGAAAACTTCTCACCACGCTAGCAAAATCACCTGAGCAAAAATTAGCTAAAATAATGTATGAATCACAGAAGAGTTGGATCAGGTAAATTTTAGTGTGACAAAAATACATTCTCGACCAGATATTCTTAACACGGTTAAAGCATTTTCGACTTATCTTTTAAAATCCATACATACAGTAGAAATCCATTACGTTTTTGGTGACCTTTACACTTTTGCGGTTCGATAGTGGAGTGTTCCTTTTTAAAATGGCGATGCACTAAAATTTAAAAACATCACGAGTCAAACCGCAAAAAAAATTAAGCACGAACACAAATTATGACTTTCCTAAAAAAATCACCAAGACCTAAATAAGAGTCTTCACTACGTCCACTACTCTTAATCACGACTAAAAAAAGACTAAACATAATACCACACTAAATGCTTGAAAAATATTTTGTGGTTGACAGAAAAAGCGTGAAAAAATCTAACCTAGTTTATAATGTTTTTTTTTACTCCATTCTTGATCGGAACAAAAAAACCTATGAATACAACTCAATTTCAGTGTTAAATAACATCAAAGACAATTGGAAAAGAGTCAATGAACGCAAGGAAACAAAACAGAAGCTTCAATTTCCGAAGTACAAAATATTTATAATTGAAGCTGTTTGATTTTCAAAAACAATTAATCATTGACACTTCTTTGATAAAATTAACCGAATTTGAGAAAACTGGATCAATTTGTTAAATTTTAATTCCCCTGAGGAATCTGGAAATTGAAATTCAATTTCGAAATTAGAAATAGATCACGCTTTTGTGACCTTTACACTTATGCTGTTCAATAGTGGAGTTTGCCTTCCTTTCAAGAACAGGAAATGAACTGAAAGAAATCGTAGGTCAAACCGCGTAAAATCAAATTTGGCCTGAGAAATTTTCAGGCGTTTTCCTGGAAAAAGCCACAAAAAACAAGAAATCACAACAACCTATAAAAGAGTCTTTGCCAAGTTCGTTGGCTGTCAATCATTTATCAGATGTCTTAATACGTTTTGCAGAATTAATTCTTCTTTAAATAAAAGTTATCAGAGCAGAGATGCATTGTACCTGAGGCTGTGCATCTGAAACAGACCAACGATTGATCATAAATTTAAGCTCGGGATATTAGAAAAAATTTTCATTCAAACGAACACTTCAAATGTTTTTTTTGCGAAAATTTTTTTCGCTTGGTCCGAAATCTTTTCATTTTCATAAAAAAAATAGGAATTAATAACAAAATTGTTCAGCAATATTACGAGCCCTACTCGAACTACTTAGTTACAGATAGAATATCTATTACTATAGTCCAAGCACATCCTCTTGGCTAGAGAAAACAGCTCCGCGCGCAAGGAATGTTCGACTAATTCGTTAACTCCTATTATTACGAACTATCAAATTTCACATAATCTAACTAGTGGCGTGCACATTGTAACAACACCTTGGAAAATTCTTTTGAAAAAATGTAAAGTGAAAAGGGCCCGTGCTGGCTTAATGGTGTTTTATAAAAAAAAGCTCTTTAACTAAATATGGTTTGCAAACAATTTGATTATTATACAGTGCTGATTTAAATTAACCGGACACAACGCGTTAAACTTGAAATTTAACACGCATTTTTCTCAAATTGGGTTGACTGTAGGTGAAAACTTATGAAGACAAAACTTGCTAAGAATTTCAGCAGAATTAATCTGGTGTAATTTGTTTTGCGAATTTCGGGTCTGAAATTTTACCCCAAAAATGGGTCATTTTGGCTTTTCTTAGTTAATCAAAAATTACGCCAAAAATGCCCAGTCGATCACAGACATAATTATATCAAAGTGAGCCCCTTAAGTAGCCCAACAAACTTAAGAAGGGTAGAATCTCCAAAATACTGTATAAGTTAAATTATTTTTGTTTGATAGACAAAAAAGGTCATTTTTAATATATAAAATTCCAACTTTTTATTTAAAAACAATTTTTAAACAATATGCAATTTTTATGGGAGCAAATACCCTTCTTAAAGTTTGTTGGGCTACTTAAGGGGCTCTCTTTGATATAATTATGTCTGTGATCGACTAGGTTTTTTTGGCGTAATTTTTGATTAACTAAGAAAAGCCAAAATGACCCATGTTTGGGGTAAAATTTCAGACCCGAAATTCGCAAAACAAATTACACCATAATAATTCTGCTAAAATTTTAGGCAAATTTTGTCTTCATAAGTTTTCACATAAACTCAACCCAATTTAAGAAAAACGCGTTTTAAATTTCAAGTTTAACGCGTTTTGTCCGGTTAATTTAAATCAGCACTGCACAGTGCTGATTTAAATTAACCGGACAAAACGAGCGTAACTTGAAATTTAAAACGCGTTTTTCTCAAATTGGGTTGAGTTTAGGTGAAAACTTATGAAGACAAAATTTGACTAAAATTTTAGCAGAATTATTATGGTGTAATTTGTTTTGCGAAATTCGGGCCCAAAATTTTACCCCAAAAATGGGTCTTTTTTGGCTTTTCTTAGTTAATCAAAAATTACGCCAAAAATACCCAGTCGATCTCAGACATAATTATACCAAATTGAGCCCCTTACGTAGCCTAACAAACTTTAAGGAGGGTATATTCTCCAAAAAAAATATGCAAATTGTTTAAAAATTGTTTTTAAATAAAAAGTTGCTGTTTTATATAGTAAAAACGACCTTTTTTGTCTATCAAACAAAAATAAATGAACTTATACAATGTTTTGGAGAATATACCCTCGTTAAACTTTGTTAGGCTACGTAAGGGGCTCACTTTGGTATAATTATGTCTGAGATCGACTGGGTATTTTTGGCGTAATTTTTGATTAACTAAGAAAAGCCAAAAAAGACCCATTTTTGGGGTAAAATTTTGGGCCCGAATTTCGCAAAACAAATTACACCATATTGATTCTGCTAAAATTTTAAGCGAGTTTTGTCTTCATAAGTTTTCACCTAAACTCAACCCAATTTGAGAAAAACGCGTTTTAAATTTCAAGTTTAACGCGCTTTGTCCGGTTAATTTAAATCAGCCCTGTATTATAAAGCTATGTGTACGGATCTAATGTATACGTACCGTATCTGTTCTTGAGGAACATGGATGTGCCGGCACAGACAAGTTTGCCAGTAGCCATAATGGCAATTCTGTCTCCTAAGAAGTCTGCCTCGTCCATGTAGTGCGTGGTGAGGATGATGGTCCTCCCCTTCCTGTACTTCTGGATCAGATCCCACGTCACCCGTCTGGCTGAGGGGTCCATGCCACTGGTGGGCTCGTCCAGAATAACCACCTACACAAATGAAATGAAATGACGGGAGAGGTTTCGACTGGGACGAACGACTGGTTTCACTCACACAAAGGCCAAGCACTTCGTGCTAGAAAAGTTTAGTACTGGGATGTTATTTTTATTGATCAAATTATCCAGACTGAGTTCTCCCGTCTCCCTGTCTACTCACAAACCAGCTATCCGTTCTATTGAATTTTAACAACGCAGTTCGACGTAGATATTCAAAACGTAGTAGTTTTTTTTCTCTCGTAGTTTTTTGTGGGAAGAAAAGGCATTAAAATTCAGAGCTAGCATGAAAACAATAAAACACTCATACTAGCCTTAGACCCTCCGCAGAAAGCCATAGCGACACTTAGCTTCCGTTTCATGCCCCCCGACAACTCCCTCGCCATCGACTTCCTCTTGTCAGTCAACTTCAAGTCAGTCAGCAGATTAGTGATCTCCTTTGAAATTGAGTCCCCTTCCATTCCTGCATTGAAAACCCAAAGCATTGAAAAATAGCCAAAAGAATGCACTTGTTGTTGAGCAGGGGAACAACAGCAGTTGTATGTATATTGGTTATCTACCTCGTGGATAAATAAAATGGTCTTAACCTTAAGCGTCCTAAAATGAGGACCCTAACATACGGATAGAAACTGTTTTCTGTATCTCATCAGAAAAATTAATGCGGTACAGATCCAAGAGTAACGAGGGTAAAAACTAAATATAAGACAACCGAAATCGGATACCCTAACATAGTCCTTTGGTCGGCCAAGGATTCGACTTTGTGAAAGCCGTCTGCTGCAACTTCCAATACCAAAAACTAGTGACTAATTTAGAACGTGGTTCGGTTCTTTAGCTTGGCTTGCCTTTGAGTTTGCAGAAGAGGCGCAGGTGTTCCTCCACTGTCAGGTTGTCATAGAGCACGTCATGTTGAGGACAGATGCCCAGACTCTCTCTGATCTTCTCCATGTCTTTCTTGATTGACAGTCCATTGATCAGAGCATCGCCCGAACTTGGCTCGTACAGGCCTATAGAGATACATTTCCAGCAAAACAACCTTCATTACACAAACTATGACATTTTATACTCTGTTAATGAACAGCCAATGTTATCAATCCCATATTTATCACTATAAAAATCTATTTCATCCTTAAGGAAATAACCAATTTCTGATAATAAAAAGAAATGCGGGGCGTAGCCATTAGCATGTGTGCCTATTCGCATGCTTTCATTTTTTAACTGGGTGGGCTTTGAGACGAAAAACAAATAAATTAAAGTTTCAGATAATTTCGAAATTTGATTTGTCAGGGGAATTGAAATTTCATTTTCGCCCAATTAAGAATTCGGCTGAGTGCAGGTTGTTCAAAATAGCAATTTTCAAACTTAAGTTAACTATAATAGAGCCAAGTTGGTAACCCTGGATACATGACTGACCTGTGAGCATGGAAATAGTGGACGTCTTGCCAGCTCCATTGTGGCCCAAAAACGCAGTTGTCTGGCCTTCAAACATCTTCACATTCACGCCACGCACCGCCAGCTTCCCATTTCCGTATTTCTAAAGAATATAAAGAATGACCGGTTGCTGTGCAATTAGTACATAAATTTCCAACCACGATAATAAAAAAATTGAAAATTTTTTTTTCAATTTTTTTTTGGTCTGATGAGAGGATCTGAACGAAAGCCTACACTGAAGGCATACTTGATAGTGTACGTAAATTAGACAAATGAACAGAGAAAAAAAAAGTATGGTTCTAAATTATTTCTGTTTTTTTTAAATGCCATTAAAAAGTTCCGAGACTTTTACAAAATGACAACTGATAACTCTTAAATAATTTTAGTAGCACAGAATGTTCCGACTACAGTTCCCTATCAAATAGAAAAAAAACTACAAATCCAGAAAACCTTTCTAGCAAATAAAACATGGCGGGCAAGGCTTTCATGTGCTACCTCACTCGAACCCACCTCATGCTTATTAGGTGATACCTGACTTTTCATTGGAAAACAACCAGCACAAACCTTGTTTCCAATTCTAAAGCTCGGAAGTATAAATGATTATCTACGTTATTTGGTAAACGCCAAAAAAAATTTTCTCAAGTTTCCTTCTGCAAGCAGTTGTGTACCATATGATTGCAACGAGCACGCTTTTCAGAGTGAAATGAACAAACATTTCGCAGCCCAGAAAAAAAACATCAATGAAAGCAAGCATTAGTAGAGTGAACAAATTCAATTGACCATGCTATGATCCGATAAATTTGCGAATTGTTTCTTTCAATCATGCATAAATTAATCCAGTCCATCGTTTTCTAGAGGGTAAAAACATCACATAATTCAGTGATTTGCTTAACTCACTCCGCTTTCACAAATGCCCAGAAAGCCTTCCTTTTTCAACAATTATCAGCCTACTCCATTAACGAAAAGCTACACATTGATTTGATAAAGAAAGGAGATCGCTGATGGGTTTGTTACCTTGTGCAGATTCTGGATGTGGATGCCCACTTTCAGCCCCTCGGGATCCTCCTCGAAGTTCTCCTTGTCTCTCCCTCCATCAGTGTGATCTGCTTCTCTCACCACCTTCACAAAAACAGCAGCTACTTCATTCTCTCGCCAACAAGCTCAAAACATTGCCAACAACCAGTTGGAAAACAGACAATGAACGCAACAAAAGAAGAAAAAATATATGGACTTGCTTAACTTCAAAGAAAAGATATGGCCTTAAAGCTCTGTGATTATCCAGAGCAATTTATTTGATAATTTTAAACCAATTAGAGGAAGCTGGATCAATAGGTAAACTTTTTATTCCGCTGTGAAATCTGTAACTTAAAATCTTTCGTTTCGAAATCAGAAGTCGATCACATTTTTGTGACCTTTATATTTTTGCTGTTCGATAGAGAAGTTTACCTTCCTTTTAACAATGGAAATGAACTGAGCTTAAAAAGAAATCAAAAGTCGAACCGCGAAAAAGTAAATTTGAGCCTGAACAAATCTCAGGACTTTTCAAAAATGTAAATAATCTCCAAGACCTACACAAGAGTATTCGCTACATTCATGACTCATAGTCATTCGTACCACCTCCATGTTGTACTTTCCATTTTTATAAACAAACTTTTATCTTTTTGACTTTAACATCCCAACGAAATCAATTAGAGAATCGTAAAGCGCTCTATTACAGCGGCTAAGTCGCAGTCCGCAGACAAACGCAAAACAAAACAGCAAAAAAGGAGCTTTAAGAATTCACTAAAAGCAAAAACAAGTCACAGAGAAAATGGTCTGAATAACACAATTTTGCTGACTACGACATTCGACCGACGGACCACAAGATTACGCGTCCCTCGCCCTGGTGAAAAACTCCTCAAGTGAGACTTTTGCTTCAATCTTTTTATGAACTCAAAATGCAAACCTCTACGTGTCTTCTCTTGCGCATAGTATCCGGACACCAATAGGAGGGTTTGAAGCAGAAAATGGGCGATTTGGCCACACCGTAGATGCCTGGATGCACGTTCTCCAGGTACCAAGTGAGGAGTATGAACACGATGGCAGACACAATTTGGCTGGTGAAGATGTTCACCATCATCAGGTCGTCGTTGAATGTCCTCGTCTCAGTCAAAGTGTCCATGTTCACTCCAATACCTTCATCATTCAAAAGTCAATTTATTTTTTAAAATATGAAAGCATATAAACCTGCAACAACTTACAAAAAACACGTTTCTAACTCATTTATTTATTCTTTAAAATTACAATTTCGAAAATGGTTATTTAATTTTGAAAAAACTATGATTCAAAATGCAGATTCGACACATATAATACCAAAAGCTGACACGATGACGCAATTAAATCAAACTGAAACATCCGAAATATTAAAACAGGTTTCACTCGCTAACACGTTACAACGAGCCGTTGAGATGTCTTGTTTTCAACAGATCTCATACCCTAAAGGAATAGTCTTTCACCTCTGCCGTTCCAATTACATATAAACAACCAACGTTAATATTGCATTTCCATGCTAGCAAGCTGTACCTCTATTTTCCAACGAGGTAAGCATCAGCACTCCGAAACAGAATCCCAGGTTGGGAATGAACGAGAGCAGGATTATGATTCCGACGCCCAGGGTGTTGTAGAACCCATTGGGGTTTCCAGGGTCCAGAAACAACCAGGGAAAGTAGGTGAAGAACCAGATCACTCCAGTCATCACTGCTGCAGTATTGGCTGAAACGTCACACAAATCAAAAATATATCTGTTTAGTCAACCAGCCCAGAGGCGCAACCCGGAGGTTAATTATGTAAGATTGAACTAGAGCTCACTTAATCATGACGAGCCCACTCATTATTGGGTATCTTGCAATCGCTTACCCATCAAATTGCCACACACGTACGATTTTAACTCGCAATCATATGATTGATGGGCGCCATTAAGTTCGGATACGGCCAAAACCTTGATACAATAAATACACAATCAATTCATTACAAAAACCCAAATCAAAAAATTAAAGGGACTCTTTTCCAGTTTCCCACACACTCGGAAAATTACAAAATGAAGCTGTTCAAAAATTGTTCACACGGCATTTTGCATGTAAGAAATGTTGTAAAAATTTGTTCACCTGTTCACGCTGACAAGTTTTGATGCAGTTTATAATAACAAAAGTAATTTTAAATAGACTTTCTTATATTGAATTTCAGACAAAAATCAAAGGGGAGCCTGGAAAAGAGCCATCAAAAGTATTCTCATTTGTGATATTATCAACACTAGAAAAACTCAAGGAGCAGAAAGGCTTCACTTCCTAAAAATAACTATAGATGCTTGGTAGTTAAGATTGTCATTTCGAACAATGAGGAAGCAATGGAAAAAATGAGTTTGATTCTATGTGCTGCCTCAATCTTTACAAATACACTCTTCTAGGATCGAATGAGTTACTTAACTTCGTCAGTTATTGCTATTCGGCTTCCAATCCATTCGGTTCATAATGCACACTATCGATGAATGTTCGCAGAATTGAACACTACTTTTAAAGTTAGCTTCGCTTTTTGAATGGTAGATTAAAATATGACTCACCATTTGAAAAAAGCGTTGAGAATAGAAAGCAGCAGGCTAGTGCTTGAATGGAGTAGAACATGAACACGAGGAATACTCCGAAGTAGGAGGAGTACTCGAATATGGCTCCCTGGTCGACTAGTTTGACAGTCAGGAAGAATGTCATGAGAAAGGAGACCACCAAGAAGATCACTCCGAAATGGAACATCCAAGCCACGTTGTGCAACCACGGTCTCAAACCCATCATTTTCATCGACTCTTTCAGACGTCTCTCTTTCTCCAAAACCAGTTGTTTCACGACCAGAAGAACCAGAGAGATCATTGAAATCACAAACACGAAAGGTAGCAGCGTGTTCAAAAATAGGTTGAATGTGTTCAGCGAGTAGGGAGGGTAGGGAATGCGGTTCATGTGGATTTCAGAAGTAGAGGAGTCCCAGGTGCCTCCGAGGTGCAACAGGATCCCGAGATTCAGAGCCAGTTGCAGAGAGAGAAATCCTTCCTCGAAATAACCTAAAAATAGCCATAAAATCGATTTAAGCTTTTAAAGAACCAACAAAATAACTCTTTCTCAAGATTATAAACTGAATGTACCACTGGTTTTGTAGAAAAACAGGCGTAGCGGAACGATGCTGCATTTGCTCTAAATTACCTTCGACGGTTCAAGATTCATGCGACATCACGACTTGTCTTCTTGAAAGTCCTCTTAATAACGTATTCGAACCGCAATGATACATTTGAAAGAACTATTGTCTGAACTTTTTCTGCCAGTCAAACTATGATGAGCCTTTCTTTAAGTACCCTTTTTCTAACTCAAATGTGGAAGAATTTGCCTTCAACATGACTTCAACTGCACATCTCTATAAAAACGCGAGTCTAATGCCCTTACAGCGGTGCCACAACATCCAGAAATAATGAGAGTTTTTACCTGGAGGTATTGGGGCGAACTTGGAGTCGTCTTGTCTGTGACCGAATGCCCTCGCATCGTACTCCTCGCCAGTGCGCCAGTTGTTGAATCTCTGTCTGTCGTCGTCCAGAACTGCGCCCGACAAACCATACTTGTCAACACTAGAAACAAATTGTAAAGAATTGTCAGCATATCAGCGGCTAGTGATGATGTATGTAATTAAGAAATACAGTACAAATATAATAATCAATTATACTTTTTTTGTTCATAATATTTATTACCAAAGCTAATTTAACGGCAACTGTTGTGGTTTATTCACTTTACAGTTTGAATCCTCCTGTTCCAGCATTTTAATAAGTTGTTTCGCTTATTAAAGCATTTCCACGAAACCAACAAAGAGGACACTGGAAGACATTAGTTTCCAAATGAAACATTTTTTTTCCAAAACAGTACCCCAAAAACATGATCTTCTGATTTTCGCTTGAGTCACGGTCAAAAAGCTTAAGAGAGTCGTTTAATAATATGATTCTCGTGAACGAAAAAAAAATGCATTTTTTTTTCAAGTTAACTTGAACTAATTGAGAAAAAACTCGAATGTGTGATGTGTGGCATCAGATTAAGTCCCTTTCAATCACGAGGCGCTTTTCAGAGAAAAACAAATTTCGAGAAAAATGGATCCGAATTTTTTTTCTATTCAAACTCAAACTTAGCGGACACTATCCGGATATAGTACTCCTACAATTGTCAAACTTCTGGTCAAGCTGATTTCTCTTCTTGCACCTTTTCATCTTATTCACTTGTCTTTTAGAAATGAAATTTTTTTCAAGTTTTTTTTCAATTTCATGATTTTTCGAAATTGTTTTCAATTAAACCTTTGTGTTTGGGAATTTTGCTACACAAACAACCAAAGAAATGCCAAAAAGTAGCTTTAAAAAGGTAAAAAGAACAAAAAAAACTAAGAAGATTTGAAAAATCAATGACCTTCTCATTAAATAAAGGTTTTCCAATTGGCTGCCCTACACAATCGTACCACTGACGCTTATATAAACCGAAGACATCCGGCAAAAGGAGCTTCAAAATTCACAAAACACAAATTTTGCATGTAATGTTTTTGAATGTAAGCAGCTAAAGGTAACCACACTATTTTATATGTAAAAACTAGAAAGTATGAAGCCAAATTTTGTATTAACTAAGCATTTAAAAAATCTCGCAAACTATATTTGGGAAATCGAATTTTAATTATTATACCGTTATTTGGTAAAATTATCTATTTTCGGTCTATTTGCTGAATTCTTGACAGTGTTAAATTATTACTTAGCTATTGTAAAAGCGCATTGGATTATAATGCCAATGCTGCATCCTGCTTTTACAACCAATGCTGCTTCAGTAGCAGATTTGGGGTTGGGGCGGACGCCCCCTCTCCTCGGGGATTCGATCCCCTGACAATCCAAAGTCTCCCTCTTCGGTACTATTGTAAGACATCCAATTTTGGTTGACCGACCCTGTAGTTTTATAGAGGTGCCAGCATATACTAATTTTCAGAGTAGCGCGCGCCAAAAAAACGATGTTTTTGCCAGACTTTCCAAAAGCATTAAAACGCATTGTTTGCCGCATTTAATCAAAAAATTACCTGCAGCGCAGAAAAAAATGTAAAAATAGGGTCTTTATAGTATTCTGAGAGCGCTCGAAAAATCAGTTTGCTCGACCTAGAAAAAAAGGTTGACAAAATTTTTGAATAAGTTTAAAATCCCCCAACCGACAGAAAAAGCTCCGCTTGTGTAAATAACGAGATTTAAAAAGCAATTATTTCTTTTTATAGGGTCTTTCATAGACTCTTCATTGAAATATAAACGAGGATTCTATTCTTTTCCTAATAAAAACATAGCCAACAGACTTAAAAAAAAGTCAACGATTGCAAGCAAACAAAAAAATACTGACTTTCTTTAAAAAACTCAGCTTTCGAATTTCGAAGAAAAAAATAGATACCCTTAAAGCTATTTGAACTTCTGGAAAGATTTAAAATTGGCACTTTTTTGATTAACAAAATAATTTTATTTGAGAAAACTGGATCAATAAGTAGTTTTTTGTTCCACTGGGAAATATGAAAATTAAAATATTTTTTTTTCGAAACTGGAAGTCGATCACGTTTTTCGTGATTTTTACACTTTTACTGTTCGATAGTGGAGCTTGCATTCTTTTCGAAAAATTAAAGGAAGTGAACTTGAAAAGAAATTAAAAGCCAAGCCGCGAAAAGTAAATTTGAGCCTGAACAAAATTTATGACTGTTCCAAAAAAAAAAATCATCGTGACCTATAAGAGTCTGAACTACGTTCATCGACTCTTGAAAAAAAATCAAAAATTTCCGATGGAAACATACATCCAGATAAAATGAAAATTAATCAAAAATCGCAAAACCAACGTAACGATTAAAAATTAGTAGTTGATATCCATAATTTCATGACATTTATGATGTATAACAAAAAAATAGGTCAGACAAAAAGCTGAACTTCGTAAACACAAGCGAAAACGCCAAGAATTAGCTATAAAAAGGTTAAAACAACAAGGATAACCGGTTACCGTGTAAATAGCACAATGTTCCGACCATAGTCTTACAAAAAAATTCAAAATAGTCTCAGTTTTTCTGCTTTCTGTGTGGCGTGATAAAAGGATCTGAGCAAAAAATATAAATATCGTGACCTATATAAGAGCCTGAACTGTGTTCATCGACTCTTAATTATAAGCGGGTCGCTGGACTTTTCTATATGAAACTGAAAATTTCAGAATCTCACCGTCTAGTGTAGCTCAAGCGAATGTTCATTTTCAGATGAGGTGGCATCGAATTGTCAGTTGGCCAAGCAACGCCCGCATTGTCATCGTCCAATGCTTCAAACTCGACCATTCCGAGGTAGGTGCTCGTCTTCCACACTTGAGATCGCAGAAGGTCAAATCTGTCCGCCAGCTCAGACTCGTCCGCAATGCTAACAAATCCCACTGAAATTAAAGAATATTTCAAGCAGTGTTAATGAACAAGGAAACAATTACAACAAAAGTACATACTTGTTTTGAAAACTTATCAATTTTTGAGTTTCAAAAAAATATATATGAACCTAAAGCTCTTCGAAAAGTTTCGAGTTTCAAAGAAAGAAATATATGGCTTAAAATTTCAAGAATTATGCATGATCGAAATTTTTTATTAAATATACTCATTTAGAGAAAATTCGACTGGAGTATTTTTTTATTCGGCTGGGAAATCGTGATGAAAATCCACTTTCGCACCTAAAAGCCATTCATGTTTTTGCACTCTCTTAATTGGAGAGCACACTGACTTCCTTTTAGCAAACGAATTTGGAGTGAACTCAAAAAGAACTCAAGACAGTCTGAACTTGAAAAGAAAGTAAAATTGCCAAAGATCAAATTTGGTCTGATCAAATTTTAAGACTTTTCCGGAAAAAAAAAACAACCACACGGCCTACATAAGTGTCTTCACTTCGTTCCTTGACAGAATCAATTTGTTCATTAATGCTTAGAAAGCGAGCATATATTGAAATATATCATCTGAAAAAATACCGCAAGATAAGCGTAACTTCTGAAACGGATTTTCATAGAAACTATAAGCTTGTCACATAAGCTAATTGAACAGTCATGTTTTGGAATTTCAAACACTAACTCTCAAAAACAGGCCGGACGCCAATTCTAAGGGGTCACACCACTCATTATGTTCCAGCATAAAACATAAAGCGAAGGTTCTTTCAAGTTCCGCACAACACACCTGTGATTTTTACGTTACTTAGGTTTACATTACCCTGCCCCTGGAAAAGGTTGAAAAATCAATGGTTCACCCACAAACTATTTTGTCAGTGGCGAGGGGAGGGGGAGCGAGCCAAAACCGATATCTTCATTTCTTGTGTAGCTATTCTTAGGTGACATTGGCTACCTTCAAGTTCCTATATGCACACTATGTAGCCGAGTTCTGCAGTCAGGTGGAAAAACTACTTGCTCGGCTCAAATAACTCTTCCAGTTCATCTTTAAGTACTTTTTTAAAATATTTTTGATGCTAGTTACGGAAATTGCCGCTAGAGAGTAGAAACATCATTTGAAAACTAAAACATTTGTTTTTATGACGTTCCTCATACTTGAGATTGGGTTGTAAACTGAGCAAAAAACATTGTATTTTTTTATATTTAAACTCTTGAAAACAATTTGAAGTTATTATCTTGTGAGCATATATTTGAAAAAGGACCCCTTCTTGGCTTGTTTCTAACCTTTGTTGATGACTGACTGAGACTGTTGCATCACAGCGTCAATGAGTGTGTTAGAAGGATAATAGAACACGGTGAAGTTGTCTGCCATTGCTGTCCCATTCTCAAAGGAGGGAATGTCCAGTTGAAAGTAGTTGTCCCAGGGCAGCACTGGAAAGGGGTCGTATGTCTTGGCATCTGGGAACACTTCGTTGTCCACAATTGTGCGCAGCGCTACCATCAATCCCGCGAACGCCACTAAAAAGATATTTCATGTTAATTTGAAGTAATTCAATCACATAGCGATAGAGACGCATTGCAATTCAATATACGCTATTTTTCTCGATTAGTTGCAACGCAAGGAAATAATGATCTACACAGAGGCAAAGTGGAGCTACGCACCGCATGTGATACAAACAGACAGTTGGAAAAGAAACAATGAACGCAAGTTAACAGAAAAAACACTGACTTGTTATTTTTTCTCAAAAAATCTCATCTTTCGATATTCAAAGAAAAAATAGATGCCCTCAAAGCGTTTCGAATTTTTAGAACACTACATGATTGGCATTTTTTAGATTAAATCAATCCAATTTGAGAAAACTGGATCAAAAAATACTTTTTTTTTCGCTGGAAAATCTAAAAACTGAATTCCACTTTCGAAACTAGAAGTCGATCACGTTTTTCAGGATAGTGGAGTTTGACTTCCTCTTCAGAAACGAAATGAACTGAACTTGAAAAGAAATATCAAAAGTCAAGCCGCGAAAAAGTTTTGGCTTTTGACTCAGAGGCGGAGCGGAGCTTCGCACCACTTGCGATACAACACAAACTAAACAACTCAAGTAACAGATGAAAAAAAAAATAGATGAACTAAAATGTTCGTATGTCTCGATGACGAACACCTAGATCCAAGCTTAAGCTGGAGGTACGTGTTTGATATTTTTTGAATTTGCTACACTGATGACGGAAGAAATGCGTGATTTCAAAAACTGAACTTTGCCCAAAACCTTACTTGTTTGTCTACTAAGATAAGTACGTAGAACGAAAGCTTTTATAGGTTTTGAAATTTTCCCAAAGACCTAACGTTTCTCTGATACAAAATTAATGAGTAGCCGCTTCTGAAGGAAAAACTGCGCAACCGCTGCTTCTTTCGTTGAATTTTTCATCTCATATTTGATCGGGGTTAAAGAAAATTCAATAAGTTTCTAAAAACCTGTCAAAGTTCAAAAAATCCAAAATCCCTAATTGTTTTCAGCTAAAAGTAGGTAGTAAAGCAGAGAAGATTCCCAAAATCGAGTTTCTCCATTGAACAGTGAACCTAAAACTTGGCAGCGTGATTTTCGAGTAAAGTCAAAAAACTTCTAAAAAACGGGCAAAGTTTCAAAACTTTCACTTGTTTGAAGGCCATAACTTTTTCAAAAAAAAAACTGGGCGTAGCATTATATAAAAGTGAGCTTTCAACAACCTGTTGTTGATTAAACCTATGATATCAGATTTGGCTGGAAAGTTTTCGAGAAACGCTCAAAAACGGCCAACAAATCAGATAGTTGATATTTCCGAGAATCATAGATTTTTGTTTAAAAAACTGAATTGCCCGCTTATGCAAAAAAGATTCACCCAGCCTGTAATTTCGATTGAATTCAAAAAATCAGATTTGGCAGGGTAGGTCTCGAGAAAAGTCAAAGAGTTTCAAAAAACGATCAAAAAATTAAAGGCCATAAATTTTTGTGTCAAAAGAATTTGAGCTTTCACAACCAGTTCTTTAGATTGAACTCAAAATCCCAGATATGGGAAGGTAGTTTTCGGTAAAATTTAGGAAAGAAAACAAGCGAAAATTGGCTTTTCCGAGTACGATAACTTTTTGTATAACTAAATTAGGGGAGCGTTTCAAATCCGCACTATTCATTAAAACAAAAATGATGAATTTGGTATGCTAGTTTTTAAGAAAAAAAAATTGTATCAACAAAATCGGTGACTTATTTCTCCCACAGTCATTTTCGAAGGCTGCAGACAAAGGAGTGTTAAAACTAAGAATAGGGCAAAACTTGTATTGACGTATAACAAGACACAACGACCATCTGAAAGAAAACTAATGTGATATTACAGATTAACAAGGAGTAAAGGAAAAAGAGACCAGGAGGGTATGCAGGCACACAAGGGTGTAAGTGGTCTTTATATGGATATCCCAATCCCATACATTTAAATAAAACTTACGAAGCGGAAACAAGGCCGACAATCTTTGAGCAGGCACCAGTTGAGTCGAAAAAAAATTTGTAAAACACGTAAAAAAAGTTCCACGCCCCCTCTGAAAATACCCTCTAGTAACTGGCACCCACACAGTAGTTAAAATTGTTTTTTTTTAAATTGAGCATGTCAGTTGAAATTGAGCATGAAATTGAGAAGTGGTTCAAATGATTTTGTTAGACTAGTTGTTAACTAGAAAAAAAGTCTATTCCGATTTGGTAATGCTTGCTAATCGCAAGCGTAAAAAACTGCGAAAAAGTTTTAGCGAACGTTTCGACAAACGTGGTAGGGCTTAGAGGCTAGCGGCCGAACAATACAATCAAAATAATACAGTGCAAAAATATTGAGCGAATGGCTGGGACCCATTCGCAGCTCCTAGCTCATCATATCCGGAAGGTGACCATTAAGATGGTTATACTACAATCAGTACATGTCAAATCAGTTCAACATCATAAAATTCCTGATTTGTGTTCACCTTTGAAGAAGCGGCTTCTTCTAGGAGACAGTATTATTGAAAACTTTTTGTAGAATTACTTTTCTTTCTAGAAGTTAAGCAACAGTGAAACTAGTAAAACAAAATACTTCATAATTTGCCAGGGTGTACGCATACGTAAAAGACAACAAAAATTGCGTTTTGCTATGTATTAGTCAGATACCTTGAACAAAGTCAGCAGAATGTTATAATAAAATATAGCCAACACTCTCGGTGCGCGCGCATCATTTTCTAGAAACAGAAATATGGCAAAAGCCAACCGTATTTCAAGGCCTAAAACCAAGTTAATGATCGCAACAACAAATTCCCATAGGCTCATTAAGATGACAATTATTAACACCATAAGTAACTACAATGTTATTTGCGCACAGCATGGCCAGACAAACAAGCCGAAATTTTTATGAAACGGAATACTTCACGTTTGAAAACAAAAGTAGATCCTGTCAGATTCGAACAAAAGGATCTTGGCCGTCCCAGGCATATTTGTTACGTGCAGACAAAAGTGCCGGAGATGCAAACAAATTTGAATTTATTATGAACTGAACTTAAATTTACCATTTCTAATTTTGACCATTCAGTGAATAAACTTATTAACGAAAAAAATTCTGGTGCCCGATTGTAATACCCTTGCTGATCACAAAGATAGAGATATTTCAATGATCCAATTAAAACGAGACCATGAAAAAGCATCTAGACATTCCATATAATTCTAAATTTTTACACAAAAGGAAGTTTGATGCACGAAAAGTCAGCTTGCTTGAACCATAATCGTTAAAAAATCAGTCTATTCTGCATCGCTTAACCCAATTGAGGTAAATGCTAGTCCAAGACTCAATCGACAAATTTTAAGAAAAAAGGTTCAATTCTTAGCACAAAACACTATCATTTTTTTTGCATAGAGTAATATTTCAAATGAATGTATTTTTGACTGAGGGTGTTTCAGTAACAGGAAATTGAAGAAAATGATTGTGACACTGATGAGCTCACCTGGCAAAATTATGATGAGAAGGGACAAAATCCAGCTCCGAATCTGCAGAAGCAGATTTTTCCATAGAAGCAGAAGGAATTGCTTGAAGGCATTTGCTTTTTTCTGCTTCATCTCAGAGAAAAAAGCAGTGTACTGTACAATAAATTTTTAGAACTAATAATTTGTCATTACTTCTCTGAAAAGAAGGAAACTCATATAACTTAGGAGAATGCCATTGGCTGAAAAAAAAAGAAATTGTAGCTGCCGACAGAAAACGTTTAGCTTCGCGTCATTTGCAAAATACGATGAAAACAGACGGACAGATTGTATAATCAAAACAGATGGAAGCTGAGCTTCGTGACACTTGCGATACAGAGAGCCACCGAGTTTTAAAAAATAAAAAACATGCCCAAATTTCATGTTTGTCTCAAATGAAACGCCTTCTGATGAGAACCAGAGGCAAAAAACAGTGGCCAGGTTTAAATCAGCATTAAAAATTAGCAAATGGGAAATATGCTGACAAAATTGGGTAGACACCTGTTGAGCCGAGAGAAATGACAATTTGAGAATGCATTAAAATAGTAAATTCTGTGCCAGTCGGTCATATTCTGATGTTAATCTTGATTTTGTAACATTCGTCTACTACAGTCACACATGAGGCTTAAGAAAAATAGGCCCTATAACCACTGGCTCAAGGGTCAGGGACACTATCTCTTGTGTTTTCCCACCTCAAGAACGGTCGGAGCCAGTTCGGTTCGCTTGTGACATGAGACTACGACCCGTTACAGCTTAAAGGCTACTACTAAAATATCCCCCCACTCTAGAATTAAGAACGTCCCCATACTTAGGTCTCTAGATACCCAAAATACATGAACGCCGTTAAAAACCGGGTTGGAACAATCCGTTAAGTTACTTTTTATTAGACAGTGGAACTTTGATCCATTTCAGATGGATCAACCTAAAACTCGCCTCACCTCAACATAACAATTACAAAACACACTCTAGAATTTAAATTTGTACTCACATAGCAGCACGCTCAAGAATTGGGAAATGATCCAGTTGGTAACTAACTCAAGAAATAAATAACTAAAAGAAGTTTAATGTTTTATAGTTTGTACGACAAGGATAAGTCTATGCTCTAGAATTTGAGTTCTCATGGACCGTTGGGACACTCTAGTTGTCCGCCTTTCCGCTGAAGGTTCACTCTGGTCCAGCTTTAGAATAGAACTCCAGACACGACTATCCAACTCGTGGGAATACGCTTGTTTCTGTTTCGAATAGGACAGCTCTACTCTTGTTCACTATGATGGAAATTGCGAATAGCAATTTCCCACTCGTTTTTATCTGACTACTTTCCCGCAATTGTTCTAAAATTGTTCTGATTTCTTTTTCTGATTTTCAGTTATCGCGAGAAAATCGTGCATGACATGTTCCATTCGAAATTTTGAAAAATTAAATTTCACTTCAAAATCAAGTATTTTCTGCTCTCCTCAAGGTCAAACTTCCAAATATGACCGACTGGCACATACTCCCCGGACTCGAGATCGATGTCCTCATCGCGCGCTGTCTTCTGCCAGTGAGTCCCAGAAAAACCGAGTGTTGCTCAAGATACAGTGCCAGTGGTCATTTACAGAAGTTTGCAGCAGATTTAAGATTATCTACACCCCAAAATTCACGACCATTTAAAATTTTCACACTATTGCCAAACAGCAACCAAAATCTGCATTTACCTGCACCTTTGAATTTTCGCTTTTCAAGCCAATCATTTAAAAATCTCCTCTGTCCTATTCAATCAGGAAATTGTCATGCAGCATTTTGATTTATATAATAGATATAGTATATTAGTAACAATATTTACTTTGTTAAAATTTCTTTTTCGTGAATCCAAGTTCCACTCGGATTCACACTCAAGCCCCCCTTCCCTCTCAAGACTCAAGATCCATCCGATTTGCCCATTCATCTCGTGCTCTTCGCCTTGGAGGTACTGCATCCTGAAGTGCTAGATGCGGCAAACTGTCTCAACAGTTCCTCTTCATCATCGGAACTAATCACAATCTCCTCCCAAGCCTTCAGCTGTTCATAGGATCGCATCCATTCTCTCTGCTCCTGCAATCTCTTTGCTTGGTTGGGTAGTGCCTTCACCCTAGCTTCTCGGTTCAAGCAAAAGGAGTTGTGCAGGCTCAAGCTCACGTTCTTCGCCAGGTCTTCCTCTAGTATCGACTCCCTCGCTTTGGTGTTGTCTCTAGACATCTTACCCACTCTCTTCCATCCCGTCGTGATCGCATTACGATGGGTTAGCAGGGGTCTCTTGAAAGCTTCCGGCCCAATCTCGGCCTGGAACTGTCGATACTCCTTTTGATGTTTTCTCATGTGATCTTTCGTTGCCCTGTACAACCAAGACGTCAGTGTCGCCCGAAACCATGGAAAGTACCTCAAGCGACTCCATACGTGCCTGACTTCCGTTGGTATGGCGAATACTTTGCACGCAGTCTCAAACAACTCAAGTCTCCTGCTGTAGTCTATCGCGTATATTGACTCAGCCGTTGGCGTCGTCGCCTCCCGATACTTCGTTATGTTCTCTTCTATCCATCTCAGAGCTAACATCGTACTCACTACTAAGAGCGTCACCTTCTGCCGGTGATCCGGTAGTCCGATCGACCGAATCTCTTCCACATCCCACACCAGGCAAAGGTTCTTGTGATCTGGATACCACACCGTTTGTGCCAAACAGTGGCATGGGCATTCCCCATGAGAGATCTCAATGCTCCTGAGATTACGCTCCCCTGAGGCTTCCAAGAGAGGCTCAAGCTCCATCATTTTCTCGTGCATCGTGTCGTTGTCTTCCAGGTTCGGAGTACTTCCCACAGGTTTCCCGATCACGTTTTGTCTCTCGTGATCGCTTGTGTTTTCTCTTTCCAACTTCAGAAGATCTTCTCCCCAGATTTCGCTTAAGTCATCTCTCAATTCTTTTGGTACTGTCCCTTTGATTTTTCTCAACAACTTGTGCGAGTGATGCGACATCCGAGCCAACCTCACGCACTTGGGCACTGAGAAGGCCTTATCCACCAGTATTCTCTGGCTGGACACTTCCACCATCGCCATGTGTAGCGGGTAGTGACTTCCGCACAAGTTGGCCATCATTGACCCTATCAGTGATTTCGCGTTCAATGGCAAGCCATAAGCTTCGCTCAGGGGAAATCCCATTTCCGCCTCAAGACCAACTTTCCAGCTCCGGATGTGTTTTTGAGTCACCTGCAACACCCCGGGCCATGATTCTACGCTCAACGCCGTCACTAAATGATGTTCAGACTCCAGTCTCTCCAGTGCCTGCAGACCACACATTCTCGAGAAGAATCCGAGAGCTGTCGCTATATTCACCGTGGTTCTCGCGTAACATTCCGCTATTATTTGCACTTCACTTTTCTCCCTTTCTGTGATGTCTTCGAACCAAGTGACCAGGTCTTCTTTTTGAAACGACAGTATCCTGACGCATGACCGTCCATCGCAGATGTGCTCTCCGTTCCCACACGTCGAATCCAGACAGCTACCCGGCTCCAATTTCTTTGCTGACCCGGGGTCGCTCGTCCTTTCGCTTGGCTCTTGCATCTGGGGTGTGATTAGCTTATGTAGCACACTCAACTTCGCCAGATCTTCATCTTCCGTTGGGGCTAACCTCACTCGCTCGGTGGTTTCCTCGATTAGACTCGCATGGGGATGTGGACACCAGGAGGGTCTTAGTAGCTTCCATATCACTCCCAAGTTCGTGGTTAACAAGCCATTTCCACCGCCCATGTTCACTTCAACTCTCTTGTTTGAGCGCGGTATGCTTATCACCTCTGGTGTTTTCTCAAGAATCAGGCCCAGGCTCGGCCCCTCTTTCTCCACTGCGTCTATCTCCATTATCCTTTCTGTCCAAAACTTCAGTAGCTCCGCTACCTCATGGTTTCTGTGGGCTCCTCCAGCTTCCGAGTCTAAGAAGGGATTGTAGGCTATTCCCATCACTCCAGACACATATTGGTATTCCCCCTTCTCACTGAGTCTCGAGTACTGTTCTGACGAGGCCAGGTTACGGTGAACATCATGTTCTTCCTCGAACTTCTTATTAGAGAACCTCCGTACCTCGTCCAGCTTTCGATGGTTCTCTAAGGATAGTCTGGAACCATCTTCTTTCTCTATTCCTGTACTCTGATATACGTTCAAGATGATCGTTGAGACTCTTCTCTCCATGGTTTTACTTCCACTTGCTCTCTGGTGGCATGCCAGGATGGTGCTATCAGACATCATTGACATTGTCCATCTCAAGAAACATGTGGCATCTTTTCTCCTAGCCAGGCTCAAGCCTGAATTGTCCCTGGCCACGTGTTGCATCAGTGCCTGATACACCTCCATCTTCTTGCTTCCCAACTTCAGCCTGTCATACGAGGTCAATGTCTCCAACTCTATTCCCACCAGACTCCAGGTGAACATTTATTGTCCCGCAGTTCTAACGAAGGGATTCGCCATTAGTGGCGGTGCTGATGAGGATGTTCTCATCGCCTCTTCAAAATGATCCTTCAACAAACTCTGCCAGGACCTCTTCAGATGACTTGCCATCTCTATCTTATTAACCTCGGCTTTTTGCTGGGTGGCCCAATTGCGTCGCCTGCGAGCTATTCCACTGTCCAACTTCTTCAAGCAGTCCTCCATTTCCTTCAATGTTTCGAGGGCCACCCACCACGTCCGGGAAGTGTTCCTCGTCTTGTTTCTCTCCAATGGATCACTCGTCACTTGTTTGCCCATGTCCTGATGTGCCTTCGAGATCCATTCTTTGCCGATCTCCACTTCCCCTACCTGTCCGTTCGTTGAACCTCTCTTCACGTTTACCTTCTGAGGCTTGAAGTCTTCTTCTGACGTCGAACTGGTGGGAACCTCTATTTCCTTTTCTACTTCAAGTGGTTTCCTGAGCTCCGAGCTGTTCTTGTATGCCGCCGTCTTGCATCGGGCCAAAACGATGGGCGCCGTCTCTCTCAAGTTTCCTTCCGAAACAGCATCCACTGAAGGACTACCCCATCCTTCCACTTCTCTCTTCCTCTTGCGAGTCTTCACCTCTCTGCTCGAGGGTGTTGTGGCTATCATCATTGATTCGACCTCTCCATCCACTTCTTCCAACTCTTGCCTCCCCCCTGCTCGAGCCTTAAGGATATTAGTACTTTTAAT